AAGTGGTAATAAAGAGAATTTGTCAATACTGCAAATGTATTCATCTTTTCCCTGGTCCTTTAAAGGAGGTATGCATATTATTCAGATTTGACAAGCAGTTTTTATTTATTTTATTTATTTTTTGGGGGTAGGTACCGGGGATCGAACTTGAGTCCTTGTGCTTGCAAGGCAGGCGGTGGAACCACGGAGCTAAATCCCTGGCCCGCAGTTTTAATTTTTTATCATTGTTAATTGACATCAAAATGGCATGTATTTATCAGGTGCAGGGTCTGGTTTTGATACATGTGATGATCAGATCGGGATACTGAACATATCGATTGCATCAAACAGAATCTTCTCCTCTAGCAATTGGAAATATACAAAATATACAATAAACAGCTGCTGGCTGTAGTCACCCACTGTGTGCCTGTAACTCAGTACCCACCTCTCCCTGTCCCTGGCTCCTGTAACCCTTGACCTCTCCCACTTCCGTGACCCTGACTCTTAGATTCTACGTGAGTGATATCATGCAGTATGTGTCCTCCTGTGCCTGGCTTATTTTACTTGGCATAGTGGCCTCCAGGACCTTCTGCGTCCTTGCAAGTGACAAGATTTCATCTTTTCATGGCTAAATAGTACTCTATTATGCATAACTATGTATGTAAATAATATATACACATACACAGTTATACAGTGCCTGTTTACCTTATCTGCTTATCCATGGATTGGCATTTAGGTTGAGTCTGTTTCTTGGTCATTGTGAATAACCCTGCAATGAATGTGAGAACGCAGCTATCTTTCTGAGATCCTGGCTTGGTTTCCTTCGGTTACTCACCCAGCAGTGGGACTGCTGCTTTACAGATAGTTCTAGTCTCACTGTTTCAAGGGGCCCCTCCAGTTGTCCTGGCTGGCTGTCCTAATGCAGATTCCCACGGACCCTGTGTGAGGGTTCTGGTTTCCCTGTGTCCTGGCCAGTGCCTGCCAAGCTGTGCCAAGTCATCTCACTGTACCCCAGCAAGATCTCGGCTGTAAATTACAGAGGAAAACGTGCAGTTGGGATAAAGAGTAGGTAACTGGTCTTAGAGAGCCAGAGGATCCCAGCCAGCTGCTGTGTCCCCCACCTGGGGTCAGCACTGGCAGAAACTGAGAAGCCCAGATAAATGGGAGTGCAGAGGAAGACAGAAAGGAGGGGCTCGTGGTAGCTTTTTGTCACTGTGACTGAGTACCTGAGAAAGTCAGCTTGAAAGAGAAAGATTTATTTTGGCTTACGCTTTCAGAGGTTTCAGTCCATGGTTGCTGGTTCCCATGGTTTACACCCTAAGGTAAGGCCCTAAACACCACAGCTGTTCACCTCATAGCAACCAGGAAAAGAGGAGGAAGGGGTGGGGAAAGGGGAGGAAAGAAGGAAGAGATGAGCTGGGAAGAAGAGAGAAGAGGAAGAGGAAGGGGGGAAAGAAGGGGAACCAAGGCCCAGCATACCCTCGAAGGACATACCCTGCATGTCCTGCTTCCTCCAATCAGGCTCCTCCTGTAAGTTCCTCCCGCCTCTCAGTGGTGCCAACAGCTGGGTACCAAGCCCCAACACAGGAGGCTTTGGGGGTATTCCAGATCCAAACTGTGACGGAGCAGTGTGCTTGCAAAGTGGGCTGATTGTCCTCAAGAGGACAGCGCTCAATTTAGAATAAAGAAAGGCATTGAAACACCTGATAAAATTTTAGATATTCAAAATGAGGTTTGGACAGAGGAAAGGAATAGAAAAGTGCTTTCTAATGAGAAAGCAAAGTGACTTGGGCGTGTTCTCTTTCACAGGTAGAAGCTAAAAGAGTTTGGGCTGAAGGTAGAGTAGTGATTACTAGTGGTTGGGGGGCTGGGGAATGGGCACCAAGTATGCAGGGAGAGAAGGCATGGTTCTGGGGGGTTCTGCAGCACAGAGGGGTGACAGTATATATTTTATAAAGATTAGGACAATTCCAAGGTTACGAGCAGAAAGGCATGAGGAGAGGGCAGTGCTAATCACCTTGATTTGATTAATGTATGCTCTGTGCATGTGTTGAAATGTCACACCAAGCCTAGTAGTGTGTGCAAGACATGTTCATATAAAGGTACAAAATTGATTTGAGGAATTTTTCTTAAAGATCTCTAATATTTCTTTCTTTCCTAAACCGAGTTGGGAGCGGTGAGTTAAATGAAGTTAAGCTGATGAAACACTGTAACTTAAAGCGGGCTTCTGGGGGCACAAGCAAGTATCAGGCAGCATGAGACACGATCTCACTTTTGTATCAACACTTTCGTGAGCTTGTCATTAATGAGAGCCACAGTCGCCAGCTGAATTATATGCCTTTACAGTGACGTCCACATAAGCTGGACTTTATCGTACCTGTGTGTTAGGATTGTCAGGATTCTAGGCACCAAGGAATTCATTTAGAGGAAAAGTCGCTTTTACCTTTTCCTGCTAGAGAGAAGTCCCTGGACTGGCTGATGTGGACAGTGATGGCGGTCACCGAAGGGTATGCCCCGGTCACAGGGTTAGAACTTTTTCCTTCTCCAACCTCTCAAAGGGCAGAATCTGTAGCTGGACAGGTGTGGAAAGATACAGTGCCCAGTGGTATGTGAAAGCCAGTGTAAAGGATGAAACTCGGTTTCATCACAATTAAAATAAACAGCGGAACGGAAGTCGGGGACACAGTCGAGCACAGTCCCATGACCCGGGGCCTGTGGAGGCAAAGGAGCAGTCCTGAGCGTGGGGGACAGGGGACTGGGCCAGTGCTGGGCAGTGCCTGAGCCCCAAGTCACCGGCCAGCCCCCCCCCCACCGGCTGCCCCCTGGCTCTGCTGGGCTGGGGCTGTCCAAGGCTCCCTGCTCCCCGTTCTCGCCTGTTTCCCTCTCCGCTTTCCTTCTTCTGCCTCCGCCCTAGCGTCCCTTGGCTGCCACTCAGCCCCTTGTGACCCCCGTGTCTGGGTGCTCTGTGGTCCCCCTCATCCGGCGGTAGCCATTTTCCAGTCCAGACGTGCCTCAGCATCAGGCATCTGAGCTCTCATGGGACACGTGTGTAAACACACATGTGGGTGTGTAACAGTCAGCTTTCATCGAGGCGTGACTGCGTAACAAGCCATCCCAGGAGTCCTTGGCTACAGCAGCACTTGTTTTTTTTCTCGCAGGCAGGGATGCTGCTCCTGACCCTGGGTGGGTGGATGTTGGCTCTGGGCTGGCTGAGTTGGGTCCTGGGTCCGGTTCTGGGGGAGCAGATTATGGCAGTCACGGAGCCTGGGAGGGACGGTCCCGGGCTGATGCCTCTTCAGACCTGGCTCAGAATGGGCCTATCACTTCCTCCACACCAGGTCCCAGGGCGGGGCTCAGGTGTCAGTGGGGTGGGAGTGGGGGAGGGGGAGCTGGGGCACTGGGGACCCCATCCTGGCCTTGCTCCCTGTGCTGGGCTCGCAGTGCCGTGGACAGTAGTCCAGGACACACTTGGAGCTCTGCAGGGCGCGGCTGCTGGGAGTGTGATGTAAAGTCCCGGGCGGGGGTGGGGTTGGGTTCTTTTGTCGCCCAGCTGCCCTGCGGGAACATGCTGGAGGGAGGTGATGGCCGGGCACTCTGCCGTCTGTCACCTTAGCAGGAGGACCAGTGGCACCCTCTGCCCAGAGCATTGCACTCCCCGGCTCTCTGTCCCCCGAACAGTTCCTCTGAGCATCCGTGTCTAGGGTTTCAAGGGTATTTCCTTATTTATTATTGGTCTTTTGAGACAGTGTCTTGCTATGTAGCTCGGGCTGGCCCTGAACTCACCAGGTAGCCCAGGCAGCCCTGGAATTCACATGGATCCTCCTGCCTCAGCCTCCTGAGTGCTGGTGTGACAGCTGTGTGCCACCTCACATGGCTTAAAGTTTCAAAGAAAAGTAAAAGCTTAGCTTTGTGAAGTGTTTGGCCCAGAAGACACTAAGAATCGGAGACAACTGTTAGCAATTCCTGGCATCGGGGGCGGGCGAGAAGAAGGTGTGTGAAGAGCCGTGCCCGAGGGCGCTGCTGTGGCACCCTCGCTCAGAGACATGGGGTGGCCATGCGAAGGGGAACATCTCGGATCTGGGTTCCCAGGGGGAGGCGGGCAGGGAGGCCATGGCTGGTGCCGGACTCTGGCGGCTCCAGCTCGGACGCAGTGGGCGCGTGGAGTCCTGGAGCTGGCCAAGGCGCAGGCGCAGAGCTGTCCTCCTGGCTTCCGGGTCTCCCAGCCTTCACGCCTTCCTCCCTGTGCCTTTGTCACTGTCGCTGTCAGCCTCTGTCCCCTGCCGTGATGGGGGGGGCTCCCCATTTCTTATCCCAGCCACGGAGGGTCGCTTTGGAATCCGCACTCATTGTTGTGAATATTTTGGGTCACTACTCATTTTTATGAATATCCTCCCTGCCTGAAGTTGAGAAATCCCAGCAGGCCCCACGTGAGGAGTTCAGCAGGCTCCAGAGCTAGGGAAGCATCTCAGGCAGGAGGACCAGCACTTAAAAAATTTGGGGGAAAACCCTGTGGCCGCTTGCAACATGTCAAGTGCTTAGGAAAATGAAAGTGTCTTCAAAAGGCAGTGACTGATTCTTCATAGCCACTACATCGACTGACTTGTCACCTACTACCCCGGTCATGGTGCTGGGATATGAGCTTCCTGGCCACGCGTAATGCAGCGAAGCCTCTTCTTCAGAAAGCTCACGTGACAGGAAGGGACTCTTCCTGCATCCATGACTTTACTGCAGCCTCGTGGCCCCAGGCCCCTGCAAACGACCTCAGCTTGGAGGCCAGCGTTTCACGGGTGAAGCCATCAGCCAGGCCGGAAGGGGCACTCCTGCAAGCTTCAGTGAGGGAGAATGGGCAGGGACCCCTTCCACGGGGGTTGCCTCGCAGGGTCACAGGGGTCGCCTCGCAGGGTCACAGGGGTTTCCTATGTTCTTACAGAAATGCAGCCAGAAAGCAAGCCCGGGCAGGGCGGCCCTCGGGCCGGCCCGGGCCACGCCACACCCCTCCCTGACCTGCCCCTCTCCCGCAGGTATGGAGAGTGCAATCACCCTGTGGCAGTTCCTGTTGCAGTTGCTGCTGGACCAGAAGCACGAGCACCTCATCTGCTGGACCTCCAGCGATGGTGAGTTCAAGCTCCTCAAGGCGGAGGAGGTGGCCAAGCTGTGGGGGCTCCGGAAGAACAAGACAAACATGAACTACGACAAGCTGAGCAGAGCACTGCGCTACTACTACGACAAGGTGAGCCCTGGGCCCTGGGGCCTGCGGGCGTGGCGCCCCCTTCTGGTTACTGCCGGGAATGAAATAGAGGTGGGCGAGGCCTTTTCTTCTCTTTTCAGGGCTGGGGTGGGGGCTGCTGTAGGGACTTTCGTTTTTCCTTCTCTGGTATCACTAGGGTCAGATTTTCCCCCCTCAGCTTTTTCACCTGCAGTGTGTGGCAGACTGTTGCCAATGAGAGAAATGAGGTGTCAGGAAGTTCTGGGGCTTCCCTAACTTTCCCTTGCTTGGAAACAGAATGAGTGTTAAAGCCTAAAACGTCTGACAGTCACATCTGCTTTGTACTTTTGTCACAAGGGCCTGTCCTGAGGAGTGGTAGTTTGACCACATTTCCTTGCTTCCCTCTCTCCCTCGCTCTTTCTTTCTTTTCCTTCCCTTTCTCTCTGCCTCCCTCTCCTCCCTTCCTTCCTCGATTCTGTCTCTATCTCTCTCTATTTCTGTCTCTATCTCTCTTTCCTTTTTTGCAGTGCTGGAGCTCAAACTCAGGGCCTTGGTGCTGATCTACAATCCCAGCCCCTTTTTCCTTTTTATTTCCAGGCAGCTTCTCTCTTAAGTCCCTAAGTTGTCCCAGCTGGGCTTCAATTTGCGATCCTCCTGCCTCAGCCTCTCTGAATGCTAGGATTACAGGCGTGCATCATAATACCCGATAAGTGCATGGCTTTTAAGCCCATAGATCTTAGTGCCCCACTCATAGAATGAGAATAATAATAATGCTGATGGGATTTGCAGCGTGGCAAGAAACTTCTCTAATTTTCTAAGTCACAGAGATTCAACAGAATGCTTTGCTAAGTAAAAATAGACCCCAGTTGCTAAAGCCAGAAAAGTTGGAGTGAGTTTTGAGCCTGTGAGGACAGAATTGCTGCGCTTTAGGATCACCGTTTCAGGCCTATGATTGTTTACTGTGTCTGTTTGAATCTGTTGTTGCTGAATATTAAGTCTCCTAGACAAGCAGGCTCCAAGGCGTAATAACCGCACACTTCTGCTCTGGCTTTCCGGTTCATATTGAAAGGTGAATTAAACACTGATTTAAATATTAGGTCCGGATCTATATTTAGTGCCTTCTCTCTGCCAACCTCTTTGGAATCGAAGACGTAAGGATTACACATTTCAGGAAGTGAAGACATCATTAATTATAAAGTATTCCTTTATATGATCGTAATTGCATATGATTATGTCATTGCAATGCTAAAGGTGCTTTCCTTTAATGTGGCAATTAATTAATCCTGACGAATGCAGAGCCACAGTAAGCTGTAAAAGCACTTCCTGCTAATTGCCCTGGCTGGGAGCCAAGCAGATGGCAGACTGTCTTTCCTTTCCCCCAGGTTCTTAGTTATACCATGGGAATCGGCCGTGAGGGGAAACAGTCCTGGTTGTGCCTGCTGGCAGAGTGCCCAGAGGCTTGGCATTTTCATTGTTTAAAGTCAAGGTGTCAAAGAGAAGAAGCTTTGTTTCTCCTGGTGCCCGGCCAGGTTCGGGGTATGGCTCTGTGGCGATTCCAGGCTGGATGGAAGTGACTGTTCAGGTCTACAGAGCCCTCACCGCTGAGCTGATCTCAGATCTGCAGAGAAAGCTGTCTTGGAGGCCCCGGCCAGCTATGTGGCTGGCACTTCCTCTCAGGCGTCCACCGTATTAAGCTGAGCACTTCCTGTTCTGCTGTCCTTTAAACCGGATGCCAAGCCCGTGAGGCAGGTCCTGCTGTCAGCCTGCTCCTTATGCAAATGAGAACGCAGACTGAGAAACCCGCCTAGGCTTCTTGGGCCAGGAAGTGGCAGAGCCTGGATTTCAACCCAGCTGGGCTGCACATGCTCCTTCCAAAGGCCCCTGCCTTCCTTTGGGGATATTCATTTCCTCTGCCTTTGAATATCTGAGTTCTGGAGACTGAGGCAGGAGGATTGCCTCGGTTTCGGAGGCAGCCCAGGCTCCATACTGAATTCAAGGGTGGCCTGAACTATATAGCCAGAGCCTGTCTCAAAACAAAACAAAACACACACAATAAGACTTTAGTAATGGACAGTCCCAGCCAGTGCTGTGGATCAGGTTGATTTCCACATCCGGGGCCCAGGCTTGCCTTGTTCCTTTCCATATGAAATGTCCCTAAGGGATGTGTAAGACTGAAAGACTATGCCAGCCTGTTTCCGGTGCTGTACCAACAGACCCCAGGCTGAGTGCTCTATAAAGTGGAGAGGTTTAGTTAGAAAACTGCTGTAGAGAATTGGGAGCCATGGTACCTCGGCTGCTGCCAGCCTGGGGTGTCACCACACCAGGGATGACATCACGGCAGGAGCACGGGTGAGAAGGAGATGCCAGGTGAGACAGGAAGCCGGAGAGGCCCAGGGTCGGGCTGGCTCTTGGGTAACAACCCCTTCACAGGGGGACTGAGGAGCCCCTCCCAGGGCTGCATCCCGAAACCTCATTAGTGCACCAGGTCCCGCCCCTTAGGGTCCCCCCCCACCAGACGTCAAATAGGAGAGAAAGGAGAGGGAGGAGAGGGAGGAGGAAGAGGAGAGGGCCCAAGAGGAAGGAGGAGGAGAAAAACACAAGGAAGGTGGCAAAGGTGTTCTTTTTTTTTTTTTTTTTGGTACTGGGGATCGAACTCAGGTCCCTGCGCTTGCGCAGCAGGTGGCAAAACCACTGAGCTAAATCCCCCGCCCCAGGCCAGGCACATGTTCCTTTACACTGGGGTCCACACTGGATGCAGCCGGCGTGGCTCCGGGGCGAGGTGTGGAAAGGACCTGGCCCGAGCTGCTGATGGCTGGCCATTTGTCCTCCGAGTTGTGGTCGCCCTTTCACTCTAGGCTGCGAGCCACGCGTCCTTCAGTGTCCTAATGGGGAGGTGTCCCCCCCAGAGCAGACAAGCATGGGAACATCTTTCTTTTTATATGTTCTGGGTATAGCTTAGCTCATTCCAGAATTTAGAAAATGGAAATGTATGCAAAAGTGTGCAGAAGACACCAGAGGGGAAGACGAGGTCCCGCAGTGCAGTTCAGACTGGTCTTGAACTCAGTGTAGCCCAGGCTGGCCTCGAACTTGTGAACTTGTGGCAGTCTTCCTGCCTCAGCCTCCCAAATGCTGGGATTACAATCGTGCCCCCCCCCCCCGCCGACATCCCGGGCTTCAATCACTATTCTGACAAATTCAGATTAAGTGCAAAGAAAAAAAGTAAAACCTTCACACCACGTCCCTGGTGGGTTCCCTGGGAAAGTGGGCATGATGAGAACCCGTGGCTTGGCCTGGGGATCAGGAGAGAGGATGTGTGCAAGGGGCCCAGCATAGCAGCAGGCTGAGGCAGCACACACTCCGTGGGTGGGAACCAATTTAGCCTTTGTGTGGATAAATCCTCCCGCATGGTGTTATGGTTTATATGGGTGCGTCTTCATAGAACCACGTGCTGCTGGAGCACCTACCTCAGCTGGTGTCTGGCACATAATAGTTGCTCAGTAAATGCTAAACAAAGGAGCAAAAGTGTAAGATACGGAAGTGTACACTACTCAAGTACAAATCACTTGTGTAAATGAAAGTTACATAAGCTTAAGGAAAAACTGCCTTGTGGTTATCGAGGGCTCTGTAACCGATTGCTGCAGGCAAGGGTGACTTGAAACACCCGAAATGTCTTCTCTCATTCCTGGAGCTTCTCATCCAAAGCCAAGGTTTCAGCAAGCCCGGGCGCCCTTGAGGCACAGGGCGGAAGCCTTCCTCCCCTCTTCTGTCCCTGTCCCAGCCTCTGCACTGTGTGCCTCGTGGCACAAGCCTGTAATCCCAGCGCTCAGGAGGCTGAGGCTGGAGGGTGTCCATGAGTTTGAGGCCAGCCTGCACTACTACCTAGTGAGACCCTGTCTTGAAAACAAATCCTGGGAAGTGCTGGAGTGGACACGATACTCGCACCTTCCAGGACAGACCCGGAGCAAACGCTGTACAGAGGCATGTTGGGGACCCGACCTGGGCCTTAAGGACTGAGGACGAGTTTCCCAGCTGGAAGAGATAGGAAGGAATCTGCCAAGGTGGGAGGATCGTGTGCTAAGCCAGGGAGTGTGGAAGAGCTGGAGGTGGCCAAGCCGGGCATTCTTAGTTAGAGACTGCGGGAGCGATGCGGGCCGTGTGGGCATGGGTGGTGGAGTAGAGTAACGTACCCAGCCGCAGTCTGTGCTTTCTGGTGAGAGCCAGTGACGAGTTGAGCAGCAAGTGCCATGATCGGATTTGCATTTTAAAATAAAAACCTGGATCTTCGCTTACTCCTCTTGATGTTGATTGCCTGGCGCTCAGAAATCACGGGTCCCGTAGCCCGTTTTCCCCCGGGAGTGAGCCCGTCATGCTGCAGCTTCGGGAGCTCAGGCCTCCCGGGACCCCGGTGCACAGGAAGAGGTAGGGGAGCCGAGTTGGCAAAGGCGGGCGGCTGTGTGCTGCCCTCAGGATGGAGCATGGGACTGCAAGTCGCTGCAGAGCGACCTGGCACCCACCCTCATCCTTGCCCACCCAGGAACCTGTAGTCCTGTTGCTGCAGGTGGTGAATTCCGTCCCGGGGTGCTGAACCCCCAGATGAACACGGAGCTGGGGTGGAAAGTCCCCCAGGGCCACAGCCTCTCCTCAGGCCGCCCCAAACGGCCCGGACTCCATCGGAAGGGATTTGGGAGACAGCAGTCGCTGTCATCGGCAGCCTGGCCCTGGAAGCCAAACACATCAACTTTGCAGCTTAATCGGAGAATGCATTTTAAATCGGTGTGCAATCATGGTGGGGAAATGTCAGTATTATATTAATAACCCATAGCCGAGGTCCCCTGCAGATGCCAAGAAGCACAGGCCTGGCAGAATTCTTTAATTCCCCGAAATAAAGTTGGTGAAGATAAAATGATACACTGTGTCCACACCCGAACTCTCCAGAAGGCCTCGGTTGGCTGAGGAGTCCATAGGCCTGCGACCCCCCTGGACTCTGCAGTGCCCTCCGTGCCTGCCCTGGGCCCGAGTGTCGACAGCCTGTGTCCGCCATGGGTGACTTTACCCGCCTTGTACCGTGTCAGCGGCTCCGGCTCCGTGGTTTGTAGGACAGCAGATGGCAGCTGGGCTTTGTCTGGGGGCGGTGGAGGTAACCAAGGCCTCTCTGCAGGGACCTGGCCCCTCTGCCCCGAGATTACAGCGGCATCTGGGCCAGGCTGCAGGGGAACAGGGCAGACGCTGCATGCTGTTTGGGGGTGCTTCCTGTCTTGCACAGGCTCCTGAGCCAGCTCCCTGTGGCACTCAGCATTCTCCCAAATAGGGCAGTTGCTAAGGAACCAAGAGGAGCGGAGCTCTGGGAGCACCCGCGACGCTGTTGATGAGGGCACTTCTGTGCCCCGCTCGGCTGCCAAAGCTCCCGTGGCCGTGCCAGATCCACTTGCGTCAGGCTGTTGCCCAAGCCCACACCGAGTTCGTCTGTGCCAGCTCCGGTTCCTGTTTTGGGCTTTTCACTGCAGGGAAGAGCAGGGGTGGTGTAGACAGACTGACAGAAACCCTAGCATTCCCATCCCTCCACCCACCACCCACCAGCCCCCAGCCCCCAGCTGCTCTCTTCGGGCCTCTGCCTACCTCCTGCCTGAGCGTGGCTCCTGCCCCGCTCGGCGACAGGAGGAGGGAGCCTCACGTGGATGGAGCATGTTGTTTGAAGTCAAGCACTGCATTGGGTAGTTTCGTGTGCATTTGCTCATTTCTGGGCTCCTGGTGTGCCTGTCCCGGGGTCAGGAATCTGAGGCGGGAGACTGAGTCAGGGAGGTGTAAGGCGAGCCGTAGAGGGCTTGGGAGTCTACCCCATGGCCCACTCCTGCTGAGGGAGCTGCAGGGGCAGACGCAGGTCTGCGGGTGCAGACTGTAGTCTCAGGGTCCTCCTGTTGCTGATCACTCCCCGAGGGCGGGCAGAAGGAAGAGGGCCCCCCTGGTTTTTGATCAAGATGACCGTGGAAGGGGTTCTCTGATCTGGCTGAGGATAGGATGTGCATTTCTGGTGGCCCAGAACCTGGTTCCTAAAGAAACCTGGATCGACGCTGCTGTGCTTCTGCGTGTGGCCCTCCCAGCTCCCTGTGCCCCCAGAAAGACTCCAAAGTTCCTTCCCAATCTGGCCCCCGCCTGACAGCCTAGAGCCCCCCCTCTGGCCCCTCTGAGCATCTCTGGTCTCTCCCTCTGCCACCCGGCCTGGCCCTGGCCCTCCCAACATTGCTCCAGCTGCACCCCCTCTGTCTGAGGGCTCAGCCTGATGCTGGCCGCCCCTGCCCCCATGTCCAGTGTCTGGGCCTCGATGGGGCTGAATAACACAGGGTGGGTGAGTGAGGAACAGGCAGACTCCTCCACAGCAGGGATGGAAGGCATTCTGCCATCTGGAGCTGTCAGCCTAGGAAAGGGCCCGAGAAACCGTCCCACCCACTCTGCCTCTCCTTTGCTAAAGCAGGAGCTCCAAGAAGGGATGATTTTATTTTTTCTTTTTTACTTGTTTTGGTGTGGTGCTGAGTACTGAACTCAGGGCAGTACCACGAGCTTCATCTCCAGTCTGGGAGGTGATTTTTAAGGAAATCGGTGGGAAAGCCAGGCTGAGAACCATCCAAGATCCCCGAGCCCCTGGCTCTCCCAGGCCATCTGCCCCAGAGGGAAGTGGCCACCCCGGCCACAGAGCAAAGTCCTGTAGCACTGCCCTTCCCTGGCAAGGGACACAGGGAGGGCTTGCACTGGGGAAGCAGTTGTGGGTATTTTATTGACTTCAGATGTCCTTGAGTGTTTAAAGAGAGGCGGAAGGGAGACAGGGCTCATCCAGCAAAAAGCACGACCAAGCCAAGAAGGGAAGGGTGGCAGTGCCTTTCAGGTCCAGTCTGGGTGCCAGGGTCCTGCCAGGGCAGCAGGCTTCGCTGCTCTGTTGAGCACCCTTGGGTGCCACGTTGCTCAGGCAGCCCAGGTCAGGGCAGCCAGATTTGGTGAGGCAGTTCACACTGCAGCTTACCACAGCTGGAAAGAAAGCTCAACCAACCTGCAAAGAAAACCTTCCTCCCCCACTGGGAGGCGGCCATTGAGAGACGGAGTTAGAGCCCTTTCTTGGCAGCACGGTATTCTTGGAAGTTTGGAGTGGAGAGCATGTGGGTGTGTGCCAGTGTACGCGCTCCAAGCTTGGGCTTTGGCCAGGATGGCTGGGGTCCCCAAGTCTGATGCTTAGGTCCTGTCACAGCAGGTGCAGCAGGAGGGTAGATCAAGGCTCCCCCAAATCCATGCGTGGGACAGAGGTAACTGTGGAAGGGACTGGAGACTGCCGATGGGGGTGCTCCTCATCCTGGAAGCCGGAAGTCCCACGTCAAGGTGTCGGCGGGGCCACGTGCTCCGGGAAAGACACCTCCTGGCCTCTTCCAGCTCGGTGGCTTCTGGCCATTGGTGGTTTCCCTTGGCTGGTACCCATCTTCCCCTCTTCTGATAAGGACACTACTTTACTAATTTTGTCAATTTAGTGCCTGCTGGAAACCCAGGATGATTCCATTTTGACGGTGTCCTGGATCCATTACACCTGCAGAGACCCTGTTTCTAAACAAGGTCACAGTCTAGGGTTCTGGGTAGATATGAATTTGGGGTACAGCTCACTCCAGGGGGAAGACTGTCCTGCTCAGAAGCAGCTCAGGTCAAGAAGCCAAGGGTACTGGCGCAGGCCTATAATCTCAGGATTTGGGAGGCTGAGGCAGGAGAATTGCTGTGAATTCAAGACAAGCTTGGTTACAGAATGAGTTCAAGGGCAGCTTGAACTACACAGCGAGACCCTGTCTCAAATCCAAACAAAAAGGGAGGAGCTCAGGTTGATGGCACAAAGGGACTGTTTCTTACGGTGCTCCTCAGGGGCACGTGTGAGCAGGCTCTGCCCCAGACAAATTTGCACCCAAGTTTCATGTGCCAGGCGACAGCTCAGGGTCCCCTCCGATTCGGATGGCACAGACCGGGTGGAGGCAGGGCTGCTGCTGCCCACCCAAAGAGCCATAGAGCACTGCCAGGACAGAAGCCACGGTCACCCCTGTCCTGTGCTGTGGAGCCCCGCATGCCTCCCATGGCACAGCGACGGCTCCGTCCGGACCTGACATACAGGATCCTTTGGAAGAAAACTACTGCAGAGGTGTTTTTATTCTCATTTTAGGAGTTGGTAAACTGAGGCCTACAGATGTAGTTTTCCCACAGCCACAGTAAGTTCAGAGGCTGGGATTCGAATCCACGTCTTTCCAAGCCAGTGTTGGCTGCAGGTCCAGCCCCTCAGAACTCCAGGTCTTGCTCTTGTGTGAGCCGCTGTTCTGCCCAGGCCTAAGGGCACTCAGAGGAGGAGGTTGGGCAGGGCGGGCACAACTGCCTGTTGTTTTCCGGGTGAGGTTGGCCTCCGGCGTCCTTCCGGTCTGCCGGTGGGACTAGACCCGGTGCTTCGTGCCGGACCGTGCCATCAAAACTGGCGCCCACCCTGCCCTGTGAGCGGCAGATGGTTCTATTTGTGGTTAAAGCAAAGCCCTTGTGGATAATAAGGCTCTTCCTCGTGAGGAGCTGGAAATAGCTGTCCCTAAGCAAGGCCCTGGCTTCCTTAGCGTGGAGCTGCTTTCCCAGGGTCTCCCCAGTTAGGGTCGCTGTTGCTCCCCAATGCTGGGCTCCCTGGGGCCAGTGGATCAACTTCAGCAGCAGCCTGTGGGCCAAGTGCCGCTTTCCTGGAAGTGGTTGCTGTGGCTGGGCTTGGCTCTGGATACAGCTGGGTCAGGTTGAGCTCCGCAAGTGACATGCTGTGTGGCCTTGGGCTGCCCTAACTGGACAAGTAACTCATGCTGAATACTATTGTTTAAAAGGCAGAAATGCAGATAAGCAAAGAAATAGCAAAATCACTGCTCAATTTTACTATATACCTTTCAGGATTAATTTTTTGTCCTCCTTTTATTTAAACGTGCATGAACCTGTATACAAAATTATTTCATTACAATAATAATGACATCTCGTGCATGCAGTCATTTTGCACCTAAGAGGTATTTACGGACATGCGAAATGGCGACAGCGTCCTGTTCCCCGCCGTAGGGATGGGTGTCTGGCTCTCCCAGCACTGAACCTCCACGGTGTGGTGGAGAATCGCCTATAACCTCACCGATTAAGCAGGAGCAGTGACTTGGACTTCCTCATCTTCCTCATCTTCCTGGGTGTCACAGGCTGGTTCTGCGTATGCAGTGTGTCCCAAGCCCCTGGAGGTTTGCTGCTGTCCCGCCGCACCTCCCCACCGGCTCCTTCCACCAAGGTTCGGCTCATCCGTGCTGAATGAACGTGCCCCTAACCCCACCATCCCGTGTGTCTGCTGGCTCCCCGAGCCCGGACCTTGGTGACAGGCATGTGGAGCCTGCAGTCCCCGTGATATCCCCTCCGGGCCCAGCCGGGCTGCTCCTCGTATGGGCTTCCTGCTTCCTGCTCTGAGAGTGTTGGGCATGCAGAGCCTCTGCTGTCCGTCCACACTGATCGCTTAACACCGGATTCAGCCGGCAGCTGCTCGCTGAGGGCCGCCCCTCTCCTCCCCCGACCCCGGCATGAATTGGGTTGTGTGAGCTTTTCTTCACAGTGGACATCAAGTGCAGGCCACCATGTTAGGCATGATGTACTCTAAGCCTCGAGTCCATTTCTTGTGTGACTCCAACTCAGTAAAACATCATGTTTCTCCTGCTTGGCAGCACGCCCACAGTGGATGGCTGCTGCGGCTCTGGGGATCCTGTTTCCACACTCACGGACAAAGCCAGGGGGATCCGCACAGCCCTCTTCCAGGGCTCGTGTTGTATTATTAAACTGCCGTGGCGGCTGACAGAGGCGATGGTTAGGTTTTCCTTTTGCTTAAATGAGAGTGTAAGCATAACGACAGTAATTCTAAGACCTTGTGCGTATAATAAGGATGTCAAGTACAGATGCAGCCAGCGTGCTGATACCAGCCGCGGGCAGATAGGTCAGTCCCCGTTTTATAGATGAGGAAACTGAGGCACGTGGCTAGTATGATGGGAGGGGCCTTGGAACTTAGTCCCAGCAGCAGTCCTGGTGATGGTGTCCAGTGGGTGTCCGCTAGCGAGGTCCGCCTGCACCTTCCTCCTTACCCAGCCCTGCTGTCAGTGTGGGTTAGGGAAATCTTCACAGTGCTTTTCCCACCTGCTTCCTGCTTTTGCTTTTGAGAATGAGGTGAGGGCAGAAGGCCTGCAATTCTGGGGAGCCCTAGAACGGTGGAGCATGCAGGAAGCCGGAGCTGAGCCCTGGGGAACCTCCTGCAGGTCTGGCTCCTCCCGGGGGGCCGATGGGGAGTGGACAGGAAGTGTGGGTGCACAGAGCCAGACGCATGGCCCGAGATCAAGCTGACCAGCACAGATGGACAGGCACATGCAGATGCACTCACCGAGCCGGTGGGCGGGTGACTGTAAGCTTTAGTAAGCTCTCTGGGGAGGTGTGAGGCTGTAGGCTGCAGAGATGCGCGTATGGCCCCAGTGTCTGCACGAGCTCAGTCTAAAAATGCCAGCAAAAAACATATGTGGGTCTCACAGACACACAGAGCTTCAGCAGCCTGGGAATCAGCCTTGAGCATCTTCTGGGGTTAAGCCCTGGCATGCCGTGTGGGTCCCTTCTCCCTGCAGTTAGTCCTACTCGTGCATTCCAGGAACATTTGGTTAACTTGTTTTAGTATCATCTTAACATCATATAGTTATGATGAGAAGGTAAATTTAATTCCACAAGCATCTTCTCACTACCTAGTTCTGTATATATTTTTCAAAAAATTATAAAACTTTTAAAAATTATAAAACTTAATAGAAATGCTTTTCTATCCACTACAATTTTGGATGGGAAACATTTGGCGGGGGGGGGGGGATTGTGTCCTTCCTGAACATGTGCAGATTTTGATTCCTTATCATTATTCCATAAATACAGTAGAATCTTTTATGTAGCATTTGTATTGTATAAGGTATTATGAGGAATCTGCAAAAGATTTAAAGTGTAGGGGAGGTATGTAAATACCATGCAATTTTATAATATAAGGGATGTTAGTGGGTTTGGGGCTGGTGTATTGTGATTGTTACACAGGGTCCTTTTTCCTCTTCATAGACAGGCAGTGGAGTGGACTGTGTGTGTGTGTGTGTTTGTGTGTATGTGCACGCACATGCATTCTGAAACACACCCATGCACACACCTGTTCTTACAGGAGCACCTGTAACCCGTCAGAGCAGCAGACAGGGTTAAGGGAATGGAAATAGGTGTTTTCTGTCCTTTGGAGGTGAAATAACTGTGGGATCCCCTCCTGGGAAGCGAGGTAAGTTGGAAAGGCCTGCTTGGCCCCAGTCTGCCGTACTCCCAGCCCCGCTGGGCCGTCTGTGCCCGAGGCTCCTGCACTGTCACGTGACAAGGTGGATATGGTGACCACAGCGTTCATCCTGGAGCCCGCTGCCCTCCTTTTCCGGAGGTCTGTGGTGGATCCCATCCTCGTTGCCTGTGGCTGAGCTGGAAACTGGGCGATGAGCGAATCGGGGCTGGTTCCGCGCACACATTCCGTGGCGATGACGAGGAGGCTTGGCCGGTCCCACGCGCGTCAAGGAGGCAGATGTGTGCAACTGTCTCTCAAACCACACTGAGAGTCACTGCTCTGCTGGACACGGACCAGCGTTTGTTAGGTCACCAGGCAACTGGAAGCAACAAATACTTGGGAGTCTGGGGTGGAAGGGGTGAAAAACAGACTGATTCTAAATATCCTTGTCACTCGTCCTAAGAGCCCTCCCCACCCGAGGGCTCTGGGCTGACTTCTGTCACCCTGTGTCGTGGCCAGGGGCTCTCAGAGGGGACCGACAGCCCGATGCCACCTGGCTGCCCCAAGTGCAGGGCTTTAGCCACTGCTTCCTCCTTTGGCCAGCTCACATGTCACGCCACCCCACCACTGCCTGAACTTTCCCTGGAGATTTCTGGGGTGCCCGACGACGACGCAGGCCCATCCCTGTGTCTCCTTTGTATCTGCACAAGAAGAGTTAACCCTTGACGGCACTCAGTAGCCAGCTGCAGAAAGTGCCCATTGTCTTCCTGTAAAATAGGGAAAATACTTAAGAGCCTTTGTAGGGGGTGTGTGTGTGTGTGTGTGTGTGTGTGTGTGGTACTGGGGATTGAACCCAGGGAGTGTTGAGTACATCTGCGGCCCTTTTTATTTTATTTTATTTTATTATTTTATTTTATTTTATTTTGAGACAGAGTCTTGCCAAGTTCTCTGGGCATGAATTTGCGATCCTCCTGCCTCACTCTCTTGAGTAGCTGGGTTGCAGGCATGTGCTACCACTCATGTTCTTTACTGAGATATAATTCACACAACATACAATTCGCCTATTTAAAATACTCAGTTCAGTGGCTGTGAGTATATTCAGGTTCATGCATCCATCCCCACAATTGATTTTAGAACATTTTCATTACCCAAAAAAGAAATCCCCATAACTTTTCACCCGTCACCCCTGCCCCGCCCAGACTCCTTTGTCCTTCTCAGCCTGAGGTAACAATAATCTGCTTTCTGACTTGTGGATTTCGCTTACCTGGACATTTCATATAAATAGAATCATATAAGATGTGGCCTTTGTGATTCAGTATCTGGCTTCTTTCATGCTAGGTCCATCCATACTTCCTTCCTCTCCTCTCCGTAGCTAACATTCCTTGGTAAGAACACACCACGTCTGCGAAGCCATTTGTCAGTGGTAGACACATGGTGGAATTTTCTTCTGCTCTTTTTCACCTATTAAGGTCCAGGAGCTCTATCTGATTGCCTTTCAATTCCTGACCATTATTTAAGGAAGAGAGACATTTTTTTAAATCACATTTATCACACCCCTAAATTATTTCTTGTTTTGTTCAGGAATATAATCCCTCCTCAGACATTATGTTCTGAGCCTGTAAGAAAATTAAAATTTTTTTTTTTTTTAAAAGCTATTAGTTTATAAGACTTGCCAAAAGAAATAATTCAAACTCTCCAGTTTCTCCTTTCCTTTCTTCTTATGATTACTTAGGCTTTAAAAAGTTCACTTAGTTTAGATGAGGATTCCAACTGGCTGAGGAAAAAAAATAAGTTTCCCCCCAGGGAGAAAAATACTGTGAGATAAGGACAGAAATACGCTAGAGTTTTAGCAGGGGAAGCATTCGCACTCTGCGCCAGCACACTTTATAACAAGATCTGACTCCAGGTCATGTGGGTCCGATGACACCCATATTTAATCTTTCCCTGCTGGGAGCTGATTTTCCCTGGCACATACTCTGCCCAGGCCTGGTGCTGCACTTGGCAGAGATGATGCCAAACAGGCCCAGGTGGAACTTTTCAGTTTCCCAAATTTCTCTGAAGGTCTGCCAGTGTGGCTGTGGGATTGAGGTTAGCTAGAGGAATGGGATTCGGTTGCGGGGGAGTTGCAGGCCCAAGCCCAAAATGGCGGCCGGTGAAACTCTTCAGCTTTGAACCTAATCTCCTGTGTCCCTCAGTTTGGGCTCCTGCTTGGCAAGGTTTCTCTGGGACTGTCAGGACGGGGATTTCCTGAGTCAAATGGGGGACCTTGTGTGTCTTTCCCTTACATACTTGCCCCAGGGAATTCCTTCTTGAAAATCCCAGGGACATGGTCAGTGTGCCCTCCCTCCTGCCATTTAAGAGGCAAACCAGAATGCCATAATGTAACAAGATAGTGTGTGTGTAGGGTGGGCTAACATGCTTATATTTAGAGCCAAAAAGTGGTCACAAATTTAAATTTAATGACATTTCTTTGATGTTGTCCCTCCACATTTGTGTGGAGGTGTGAGAAAGCTCAGGCTTCAGAGCCAGTCACTCTTGGCAATTCTTGGGCCTTTGCCCCCACCTCTGAACTTGTCGTGTTTGGAGGTGGAAGGAGGATACCTTCTGCCCTGCAAGAGGGTAGGGGTGGGGATCCCATGAGGTGGTGTGCTTGATTCAGAAAGGTACTCAAGGGGAGCTGCTTCTGAAGCTCTTCTTCCCCAAAAGGTTTTGGTTTCACCCTCCTTTGTACCCAGCTTTCAGCAGGAACACTTGATAAGATGTTCAGAGTCCTGTCCGAGTAGGGTTGCCATGGTGCCTGCGAGGGGGAGGCCATCTTTGTCTCCCTGCAGCACCTGGGACCTGCACGTCAACCACAGGGTGTGGAAGTTGCAGGTAACTGAGAGACAAATACAGACTCTGCTGTGTTCTGCAGGGAATTAATGTATCAGCTTAATAACCCTCAAGCTCAGTCTAGCCTTTCACAGAAAATCCCCTCTTCCAGAGCACAGTAAATGTTTGCAGTGATTACCATGGTTCCTTTACATTTGTGGACGGGAGCCCAAACTGAACAGCCAGAAGTAGACACCAGCTACTTGGAATACTATAGGGAGGCCATAAATACCCAAGTAGACAATTTGTTTTTCCTCCGGTGGCTTTCTTGGCAGAAAATGAAAAAGGCAAAAATGGCTAAATGACTAAAGAAAACATTGTGGCACTGGCGATGGTGACTTAAGGTTTCTGTATTGCTTTCCTGTTATTACATGGCGCTCTCGTGACTCCCAGAGGTAGGCGAGATAATACTGGAATGTGGCCCAGGAAATGCTGCCTTCCCACTCGCCTACTGGGTGGTTATATAGGTTATTCAATCATTTTTCTATTATTTATTTATTTGCTTTTGTGGTATTGGGATCAAATCCAGGGCCTTGGGCCTGTTAAGCAATTGCTCTACCACTGAGCCACATCCCTGGCCTTCTTCATTTTTAAAATAGGAATAACAACATCTTCCTCCTACGGTTGCTATACAGGTTACCTAAAGTAAGATATGAAAAATCCTGTACTACGTTATTAGGAATAATAATCCTCGCTTCACAGAGGGAAGACCACAAAGGGCGGTCAGTCTGCCAGAGGCCGCACCCCTACTGCTGGGCAGAGCCCAGTGCAGGTCCAGTCCTGCAGCTGCAGCCTAGCTCCCCTTCCCTCTGTCCCTCCCCGCGTGCCCCCGGGGACCAGACTGCTGACCACAGCGTCAGGGCACTCACACCTTCAATGTCTCCTTCTGTGTTTGCAGAACATCATCAAGAAGGTGATCGGGCAGAAGTTTGTGTACAAGTTCGTCTCTTTCCCCGAGATCCTGAAAATGGATCCTCACACGGTGGAGCTCAGCCGGGAGAGCCTTCTGCTGCAGGACAGCGACTGTAAGGTGGCCCCCGGCAAGCACGGCTTGTCCGCCCTCAAGAGCGCCAGCCGCAACGAGTACATCCACTCGGGACTGTACTCGTCCTTCACCATTAACTCCCTGCAGAACGCCCCGGAGGCCTTCAGGGCCATCAAGACGGAGAAGCTGGAGGAGCCCCTGGAAGCCAGCCCCCCAGTGGAGGAGGTCCGGACTGTGATCAGGTTTGTGACCAATAAAAGCAGCAAGCACATCGCCAGGCCCGCGGTGCCCCTGCCCTCCACCTCGGAGGCCACTGCGGCCTCTGCCTTCCTGGCCAAGTCCGTCTCCGCCAAGATCTCCTCTTTAATGCTGCCAAACGCCGCCAGCGTTTCCTCCGCATCGCCCTCCTCCTCTCGGTCCCCATCCCTGTCCCCCAACTCGCCCCTCCCTTCTGAACACAGAAGCCTCTTCCTGGAGGCCACCGGCCAAGACTCGGATTCCCTGGAGCCCTTGAACCTGTCATCGGGCTCCAAGACCAAGTCTCCATCTCTTCCCCCCAAAGGCAAAAAACCCAAAGGCTTGGAAATCTCCGCACCCCCGCTGGTGCTCTCGGGCACCGACCTCGGCTCCATCGCCCTCAACAGTCCAGCGCTCCCCTCCGGGTCCCTCACTCCCGCCTTCTTCACCGCGCAGGTAAGAGCCATCGCTGGGGCCCAGCTTAGAAAGGACAAAGGGTGACCAGAGCCACTTCCTGCCGTCCTTCCGTGGACAGCCCTGGTGGACGCAGGCCCCAAAGTCACTTTGTAAATGGCAGGGGGATCCCTTTTCCATCGCAGGGTGTTGGCTGAGCATCCTGGGGCGCCAGGTGGGCTTCTGAGGGGATACAAGATGGGACGTGCACACCAGCCGGCCGGGAAGACCGGCACTGATTCCCAGGCCAAGTGGAGGGGACATTCACGCCCCAGGAGGCGCTGGGCCTTAGGAGCTTGCCATGGTAGCGGCCTCTCTGGGGGACTTGGTGCAGCCACTTGTTTTCTGTTAGCAAAACATGGATGTTCACAGACCCCATCCTTGCTGTTGGGAGCATGGAGCTGTCACATTGGTCTGTGATAACAAACACAAGGGCCACACCAAGTACAAAATGCAGGGCGGCTATGAAGAAGTCCAGGTGCACGTCACCCGGGAGAGAGAGAACTTGCATAGTGCAGAAGTGATTTTTTGTTTTTAACTCCAGGAGAAGGCAGCCTTTTCCTTGAAGCAAAAATGCCTAGCAGTCAGAGAGGCTGAGCCAGGAGGGTCGCAAGCTGAAACTCAGCCTAGGTCACTTAGCGATGTAGTGAGACTCCGTCTCCAAAAAATAAAAAAAAAATAAAATGAAACAAAACACTCAGTGGCCTGTCTGGTCCAGCTGACAGCTGCAGGGCAGGGCCAAGGTGGTGCCCCAAGCCATACTTCTGCTCGGCCTGGAGTACTGGATGTAGTTTAGTGGCAGAGATTGACTTGGGGCCATGAACTTGGATTCAGCTCCTGCTAGCCAGCTTCCTAGGAGGGGCTGTAGGCATTGTTGACTATCGTGAGGACAAAGGCTGTGGTGTGTGTCAGCTCCAGCGCCTGGGCAGCCCCTGTTGTTGGTGGGGCAAAGTGGGGGACCCTGACCTGAGAGCGGGTGCTCAAGGGTGGCTCGTGGGCTCTTTCAGCCACAGAAATGCACTTTCCTCTTGTGGGGCCAGCTATGTACAGTCTGATCCTATAGGCTCCTGGCATCCGGGAATCTGCAGGCAGCTCCTCTAGACTCTGCCTAGCTTTGGAAGTGGGGAAAGGTTTGCTGTACTGACTCCTCAGCCTGGAAGCGAGATTGCCAAGATCAGTTACTCCCAGCTAGAAACATGGCGGGAAGGAGGACACAGGAGTCTTGGCCAGACCCATGTCAGGCAGTTCTGGTTCTCCAGGGACCTTATGAAACTACAGACGTCATACGGGCCCAAATTCCGATCGGAAATCTTCATCTGTCTTCTGATATGAACAGGAAGCCATCATCAGCTCCCCCAACCCCCATCCCAGAGCCCTCACTTTTATCAGAAGTATTTGTGGTGCAGCTGCTGGGTTTTGACTCTGTACTAAACAGAGATTATTGATGTAGACATGGTGGTCACTCAAAGGCTCCTTGAACACAGGGCTACACGGGAACTGAAAAATTTGAACACAAAAGCCACCAGGTGCCAAGGAGTGACGACCTTGCAGCGTGGCTGCCGAGCTCATAGTGGAGTGTTGGTGAAAAGCAAGGCGGTCTCTGTTGGCACAAGCTACTGAAATTGAGATGGGGAGAAGCAGCACGCGAAGCCCTCCGGGGGCCCAGCCAGGCACCATGGCAGCCTGAGAAGTGCCAGCTGGAACATCCAATTCGTGGTGCCTTTTGTATCTTGGTATCATCTCTCCCTCTTCCTCCCATTTGTCTTTTCTGTTCAGTCCCTCTTCTCACTTACCTTAATTAGGTGACATGAATTCAGAATTCCCTTGTTTCTGCAAGACCCGTGTTCATCTTACTTGTGCTGCGGAAGACGCTGGATTCGGATGTGTGTGGCGCGGGGAGTCTTGTGTGTGCCCCAGGGTGTTTTGTTAGCAGCGGCTGGATCTGTGCTAATGGAGTGCAGACAGCTGCTGAGGTCTGAAATGATAAAATTTCCATCCTTTATTAGTGGCTGGGGAAGCAGCTTGGAGCCAGAGTCAGAAAGTGGGAATCTGGAGCAACAGCGATGTGGGTGGTGAGCAGTTGGGGCACAGAGCATCCTACTTAGCTCTGGTGTGGGTTTTCATCTATTGTATCTTTTGCTATTATTCTCAACAAGGGAAAAAAGCAGCCCAGCTTTCTTCTTTGCTCCAGCTCCTGAGCTCTCTGCACACTGACCCTCCTACGGGCAGAGGATGTCCTTCTAGGAGCTCTTTGTAGAAGACGTCCTTCTAGGCAAAGGCTCTTGGTTCCTCCAGCTATGGGTTGCCCTTGTCTCTCCACCTGGGGGTCCCCTCCTCATCCCTCTCCTTGCCTGTTCTGTCCTTCATGGGTCTATTGCCTGGTCCCTGGGTCTTCCCCATCACTTTCTGTACCTACCCACACCTATGCGAGCCTCTGCACTCTGTCCTCTTTTTCTTAAGATCCAGAGCTTCTGTGGGAGTCTATTCCTCTTTTAAAGTCCTTAAAACCATGCCTTACTTTGAATTACAACTCTAGGAATTTTTAGAGATTAATAGTCACCTTTTATTTGAGATCATTTTTAACCCCAAGGTGGCATTTTCATGGATTCTGTTAGCATCCATGTGAGTCAACCAGCTCGATAGACATTGTGATTTTTTTCTTTCTTTTTCCTAAAGGCTGAATGATTTACCATGATCTCAAATCATCAAATCAAGTAGTCAGCAATTACTTCCTGTAGGGTAATTCATTTATATCCTCTTTAGTCAATTAAGTTTACATATGGCCATCCTTTTAAATTAATTCATTTGGGAGATAATCACTGAATTGCTAGGTAGTTGCTAGCTCCCTGTGGATGCAGAGGTTAGCAGAAGAGATACAGTGCTTGTTCTCATGAACTTACAGGTTGTGGTTGAGCAAGTAAAGAATATGGGGAAATACATAATTTAGGGTGTTACAAATTCTGGAGGACCCCGAAAAATGCCCCAGGAATTCAGACTATTTTGATAGGAAATTAACAGCTTCTACAGTCGTATGTCGGGTGAAGCAAAAATTCCTTGTTAGGATCAGTTAGCAAATAATGATTGTATTAATGTTTTGCAAGACATAAAAAGAATAGTACCAGGGCCTATTTTTATGACCTTAGGAGCGTGCTATACCAAGGTGCATGCGTGCGCATACAGGTGGCACATGGCGAGGGTCATCTAGCCTGCACAGAGAAGCGCCTTAGGAGATGGAGGGCTAATTATCCAACTCACTTCAACAGACACTCTTTAGTCAGTACTGGTGTCTACATAAATGGTGGCAGAGTGGACAGAAGGGACTTTAACACTGGATGTGGAAAGGAGGTGATGAATTCAACTTTGAATGGGAGGAAACTCCAAATGGAAATGTCCAACCAGTGACCAGCAAGGGGACAGGACACACCTAGACTTGTACACGGTTTCATCTCATCGAGTAGATAGGGGCTGAGTACTACAGAAGAAACAAAGATGGGCAAACACCTTAAAGACTGCGGAAAGAGGATCAGGAACATATTTAGAATACCATAACACGAGGCAGAATATGTTAAATGTTAAGAAGAAAAATGGTAACACAGAGTTCTAAAAATTTAGCAACAAAAGAGACATCTCATCTGGTTTCGGGAGATCGGGAAAGTCTCCTTTGAGGAGGTAACATCTTAATGGGTAACGGGGGGTGGAAGCAGAAAGGGAGCATGACCCAGCAGAGGGTCATGAAGAAGGGCACAGCAGAGGAGGCCAGCTCGCCTTAGAGCTCACATGTGGAGTCTCTTAGGGGAGTCAGTATTAAGTGAAAAAGAACTGAGTGGCGAGAACAAAGACCAGATCCTGGAAAGAGTCCTCCTTGGAAATGGATGCCCATTGCCCCCGGGTGAGTCTCCTTCTCTGGGAGCCCCGGGCATGGGGAGCACCCAGTGGCCATTTGTTAAGACAAGCACACCTAGGTGGAGGGAAAGGGTGGATTTTGCCTGTGGCTTCATTCTTTAGCCCTCTTTGCCTGGCTCTGCAAGCTCGTGGAGAGAGATTTTAGAAGTTTACACTGTTCTGAAGATAACCCAAGGCAGCCTTTATAGGAACTTTCCTTTAAAAAGTAACCAAATAGCTGTTTAAGGCCACCGTATCTGCAAGGAGTAAGGGATGGGAGGGAGAGGAGCAGATGAAGTAATTTCACAGTGTTTATATGCATATATTATAGAAGACATTTCAAACATGTTAACCAGGAGAAACAGAAGGCCACTGTATTCTGAGTACATCCCGTATCCCTGGGCAACAAATGTGCAAACATCTCAAATCCAGATATGGGTACAAATTTTAGACTATGGAAATCCAAATTCTAAATCATACATATGGCCTGGAGGATTAAAAAGGAAAGGGTGTGTATTTATGGCCCAGGATAAGAGAATCGTAGCTGTGTTTTGTGGCAAAGATGATTGTCTCTTTAGACACTGAGAAGCCTTCACTGGCTTTTAAATGTTAGTTGGAACCTGGCTCCAGATATGAGTTCTCAGCTCACCGGAGTCTGTGGATTTGAGCCTAACACAACTAAGTGGAACTGGAAAGTAAGGCTGACTCAGCTGAGTCCATCTGTCTTGGGCCATTCAGTACTTTTTTATGTACAGTTGAGAGTTTCTCCCATGAATAGATGAACTGTATTTAGTATGTTAGGTACACTTATAGTTAATGACTAATTTGTTCAACAACATTTATCAGGTAGAGTGTATCTAGTTTCTAATACTTGTTGCACATTTCTGTGGGCCAGGCACACCGTAAGAGGGTCAGAGCATCATCTTATGTAATCTCTCGGCAACCCTGAAACGGGCATTTTTTAGTCTCCCCATTTTACAGATTGGGAAATTGAGGCATAGAGAGGTTAGGTAGTTTTCCTGAGGTCACCTAGCTAGTAAGTAGTGTTTCTGAGCCTGGAGGCCTGGCAGATCTCATGCTGAGCTGCTAATCCTTAACCATGAAGTCAGATGGGCCTGGCACCTATGTTAAACTACCTGGACGACAACAAGTGGAGGGTTTATTCAAATACATATGTATCCCAGGAACCTTATAGGTCATTTAGTATGTAGGAAATGCCGTGGAACTGAAGACTCAAGTAATTTGGTATAAATTTGTTTACCTTTCAGCACTTTCCAGTTGGAAGACCTTTGGATGTTTCTCTCCATTTCCCTGAAGAGAGCAGACCTTTCAGAATAGGTTTAAGCCCAAATACTCTTGATAGTTAATGAAGCTACTGAGGCCAATCCTGGGGAAAAATAATGCTTGAGCATCCACCATGATGCAGTCTGAAATGCTGGTGCCTTTGCCGTGGTTCTTACACAAAGCACCTCATTGACATCACAGATCCACCAAGGGGCTCCCTTCCAGTCGCCAAAGGTGCAAAACTCCCTGGGCCAGGGAGTTTGCCTCTGCTGAGCATAAAAGCTGTGCAGATTTACAGTTGGAGCGAGTTGTTTCTTCTGCCTTCTGGCTGGCATGTGGGCCAGGACTCCCGCTGGGTGTGTGCATGCCAGTGTAGGCCTTGGCATTGTCCAAGGAAACCCAGAGAGCTGGCTTCACACCTAATCCGACGAGAAAGAACCCTGTTCCCATGACAGGAAGATGAATTCTCAGCTCACATCTGCAGCGAAATCTGGAAAGCCCAGCTCAGAGCTTCTCAGGAAGCCACCATAGTATATTTTACCAGCATCCTCAACTATTAACAGGCCCTTGATAATGAAGTGAAGCTTGAGAGGGCATTTAAAAACAAGTGTAAATAAATAAAATAAATGAAATTGAAAAATTGAAAAGTGTAAAAAAAACACACAAAAAACAGAAGTGTGTGCCTGCCCTTGTCACCTAATAAATGTCCATTTTAGAAAAATAATTAGATAAGAAAGTAAGTCCCTTTATAGGAACTTGTTTGGCATGTACACTACATGGGAGAAGGGGGGGGTGAGTTAAAGGAACCATTTGTCAAAAGTTGCTACTAACTTGAGTTTCCCATCAGAATGTTTTAGGAAAGGTAACTCATGAAAACCCCTTTCCTTAGTATACTGCTAATAGAATTAGCACTGAAGAAAATTAATTAAAATGAAACTGGTCCCAGCCTTGGTTTTCCTGAGATGGGGGCTCCCTGTTGATCTCTGCGGAGTTGGGAGAACCTCTGTCAAGATCTGTCTGTCTGCTCTGTTTCCCAGACACCAAATGGATTGCTTCTGACCCCAAGTCCACTGCTCTCGAGCATACATTTCTGGAGCAGCCTTAGTCCAGTTGCTCCACTGAGTCCTGCCAGGCTGCAAGGGCCAAACACGCTGTTCCAGGTGAGCGTTGGGAGATGCACTTTCAGGGGGGTCTTTTCCCTAAATCCTGCAAAGGCTCAGATGGTTCATGCCACGTATTTGGTTAATATGTTAAGTTTACAGGACTCCTATGAATGGGGATGCCCGCCGTTTCACAGAAAGATGCTTGTATTGGGGCAGAAATGGAGTACTCCTCTCATATTCATAAATGAAACAGTTAGGTCTTTTTAAATTTGTTTTGTTGAGATGTGGTCTCTTTTAAGTTGTCAGTCCCCCTGCCTCGGCCTTCCAGGTGTGTACCACTACACCAGGCAATTAGTTCTTTAAGTGTTCTGGATATTTTCATTTGATTATGAAAACTGGAAATTTATTAAGGAAAAGATGAAACTTGAAAAAATATTTTTTATAAAAGCTTTTTAACTTTAAAATGTTAATCCAGTTAGGCAGTGTATTGCAATTCATACATGTTATTCAGTCAAAGTAAAATGAAAAATAAAAATAGTGAACAATTTCTCCATGCTGGGATTGAAAAAGTTTCCCGCATAATTCTACAAGTCATAATCAAATTTTCTTGTTCTCTTAAAAAAAAAAAAGTATTCAGGGCATACGGTTAAAAAATAATGAAGATTTAGCTATTTTATCCTGCAGAACTCTGTTAGGTGAACACATTCATTATTCATTCATGTGCTGGATCTTGCGGTAGCATCGCTTGCTATCATGTGATAGCAAGACCCAAAGATTGTTGCTCACCAACCTAAGCAGGACAGGAATGAAGCAAACTCCCTCTCCAGCTAATTCTGCTTTGTCTCAATTGCCTTGCATTCCAGGCCCCTAGTGGGGCTCACCTCAAGCCAGCTGCAGTTCTTTTGTTCCCCACTTGTATTTGCATTTAGCACTTTTTATCATGACTGCCCGGAGATCGGGCAAACTCTAGGCTGTGGCTCCTCAAGAGACTTGAACTGTATCCTGTCCACTGTGCTGTCTCCCAGCATCCAGCACACTGCTTGGGACACAAATGATGTTAGGAATTACTGGTGACAGTCAAAAGGAAAGCATATCAAAGAATTTGTGCTGAGAGGTCAACAAAAGGTAAGTGTTGTTAAAGATCAAGTCTCTGTGTCTTCTGAGTTGGTTGTTTTGCTTGTCAAGGTATTTGCTCAGTACCTGCTCTGTGCCGGAGCATGTGGACAGGCTGGGATTTAGGATCTCACTGGAGCAATGGTGGTGCTAAAAAGGTTTTCATTGCTATCTTGTTTCTCTGGTTTCCTAGTGGGGCTGGGGTGAGGTGTCACGATGGGACTATATCTCTGGAGTAATCAGGCTTCATTCTCTTCCCTGGTCCTTATTCCCATCACGAGAAATGGAGTTGTGGTCATCCACAGCCAACATGCTGATTTTTAACACTGTTTAACTTGAGCAGGGAAGCAAAAACTAGACAGTCTGCAAAAAGCAACAAGCAGATGTAGTATTTGAAAAGCTTTAGAATAGGAATACTGATGCTTTGGAGAGGAGATAAAAGACCTCATTTCTTGAAAGTCTGAAGATCAGAGTGGCAGTATTCTAGTAAGTAGAGTAGAAAGATATTGTATGGCTACAGTAAGCTCCTTGGGACAGGACTGCAAAGCTGTGCACATCTAGACTCTGACACGGAGCTTCTGTAACAGGTATCTGTGAATAACTGATTGCTTTTCACCTCCCTCTTTATTGGGAATTCTGCCACCTGATTGGTGCAGAGCTTGGTATCTTCTTAGGAAAGCCATGGGGAGCTATTGGAATTATACTCCATTTGTCTAGTCCAGTATTCCCAACAGTAAGTATGGCTCATGGCCGCAGTGATTCTATACATTATTAGGGTTTTTGGGAGTTGGGCCAAGTGCATTGGCAGTGGTTCTCAAAGTTAGCATGCCACAGAATCACTGGGATGATGTGTTAAAATAGATTGCTAGGGTCCACCCCCAGACATTCTGGTTCATTAGTTCTTGGGTAGGATCTGATCCAAAGTTCACTGAAGTTCCTAGTGGTGACCCTGGTTCAGGAACCATATTTTGAGAACCACTGCAGACCAGTGAGTGGTTCCTAATTTACATTTAGAATAAATTACTGTATTTAAGGGCTACCTGCTTAGAGTTTCAATTTTAATTTCACCAAAGAGATCTGGTCTCTCTTGGAGCCGCTGAAAATATAACAGGGGACTGGGGGAGGATAAGACCGGGTCTGGATGGCTAGCAGTGTGCATAGTTGGGGGCCTTCTTTTTGTGGTTGGATCTATGAGTCTAAGGGAAACACTGTCAACCTTTTAAAACACTGTTACTCTTCCTATGAGAAAGAGCAGATGAGTATGGTGAAAGTGGAAGGCAGGAGTTTTTTTGTTTTTTGTTTTTTTCTTTTGGTACCGGATATTGAACTTGGGACCTTACGTTTGCGAGGCAGGCGGCAGAACCACAGCTAAATCCCCAGCCCCAGAAGTTTTTTAATATGGTAAACAACAACACTTAAAAACAACACAGTAAGAGGAATAAGATTTTCTGATTTTTAAGACTAGACATTACAACTGATTTTCAGAATTCAAGTTACTATTGTGTCCTTCTTAAACGAATAAAAATAATTTTATTTCAAAATAACAGATCTGTCACATATGCTACATGTTGGTAGAAGGAAAAAAAATAAGACTTGGGTTACAGCAAATTTTCAGTTATGTGGTCAAGTTTCCTGCTGTGATCTTTAGAAAGGTAGATCGTAATTCATATGGTAACAGTGCAGAGGTGAGGAATTCTGCCCAGAACACCCTCTGATAAAATTGTTGTAGTAGGTTATAGCTGATATTGAAGAGTTTTGAAGAAGGAGCGAGAAGACGAGAAGATGCTACGCTCTCTGGAAGCAGTGTGTTTTCTACCTAAGAAATACCTTAGTAAATAAGAGAGGTGCCAAAGACATTGTACCAAGTGTAAATATACAACCTTGATGTATCAATAAAAGTGAAATGTCTGTTTCAACCAGATAGTTTGACATTTTGAGCTTATCTATAGGATGTCTGTACCACTCCAACTTTTGAAGGTAGAGCTAATTAAGTTTTCAATTGAGAAAGTGTTAATTTTTAGTTCAACAAATCTAACCCAGCAAATATTTGCGGTGCTCTGTGGGAGGGACTGTAGGAGATACAAAATACCTGAACAGAAGAGTAAAACAAAGTGCCGCAGGAATCCCAGGGACAGAATAGCTTTTACTAGCTGGGGACTGGATTTTGATAAGAGGACAGCATAGTTTAGTACCTGATAGATCTGGTCAGTCTGAATATGGAGGTCTGTTCAGGAAGAGACTGGGATAGATTAGTTCGGAAAAGCAGCTGTGGGCCTTGGAAAGTGTGCTCAGGACCCTCCTTTTAATCTGTTGTTTAGTGTCCTTAAAGCTTTGTATACTAGAGGTAAGAGGAGGAGATCTCCCCACACTGCTGTCCGTGTGGGGAAAGGAATGAAAAAGTAGAGAAGGAAGAGAAAATTACTACACTTCAAATACTGAAGGGACAGTCATGTTTTAGATTAGAAGAGGGACACAGGAAACATATTTAGAAGATATGTCAGAAATAAGACTAAGAAGAAGACTTCGAGTTAGGCTGGAGAAGTAAGGAATAGTAAAAATTAGGAAAAGGCAAAGATAACTGGTTAAAGATGGGAAATGCTATTAATAACAGTAGTTACCATTGACTGAGGATATGCTGGGTACCAGACAATTTTAAACTACTTTTTGTGGCCTCCCATTTAGTGCTCCCAGTAGTTCTGTTTTAAAGACGAGAAAACTAAGGCACAGAGAGGCTGCCCAGTTGCCCAAGATTGCACTAAGAAGTGGTGGAGGCCCCTTTCAAGTGTAGTTTGTATTCCTAGCCACCACTGTCACTGACTTAGAGAAAGCACCAGGGAGGACAGGTTTTGTGGGGAAGAAGCACTGGTTGGGGACATCAAAGATGAAAATGGCTGTCAAGACCAGATACAATACTGGAGAAAAGAAGGCAGAGGACAAAAGTTGGAGGAGGGATGCAATTTAAGAGCTGTAGTGGGAGAAGAGCCAGCAAAGATGCCTAAGACACACCCCAGAGAGCCAGGCTAATGAAGGGCCCATGACCACCGACTGAAGAGCCAGGGCAGAAATCAGTAATATCTTAAAACACAGAGAAGACTAACAAAACCAACACTGATTCTTTTGAAGGAACCAATAAGATGGAAAAGCCAAGAAAAGGAGAAGATACACTCTGTGAAAGAATGAAAATTCAACACCTGCTTGAATTCTTCTGGTGTTCACTCTCAGTGGGAGCAAACACGGGCTTACGTACAAGTACATAAACCATATATAAATAGTTGCAGTGGATAAAATTCCATAAGAAACAAAAATTTCACAGTGCCAGAAAGAAACAAAACCTTGACTATGCCAATGACTATTAAAGAAACTGAAACACTACTAAGAAAGTTGGGCAGTTTAGTACAGAATGATTTCAATCAGAGATTCAAACTTGTTTTTGCTGCTTATTAGCTGTGATCTTTGGCTAATCAGAACTTATTTGAACTGTTTGCTCATTTGTGAAATGGGAATAAGAAAACTTACTTCATAGCTGCTAGACAGCAAGATAGCCCTTGATAAACAATAAGGCACTAAATGTAAGTTATTGAAATAGTTTGAAAATTGCAAAAATATATTTATTTGTTCTACAAATATTTGTTGTACTTTCTAACCTGTTCCAGGCTAAGTAGTTTGACATTTGGTGCTGATGTTTAATATTTAACTTAACGTGACCTAAATAGGAATTAAGCTAGAAGACAGCCTAGGAAATTTTGACACGTATCATCGTAGCCAGTGAAAAAAATCTAGTTGCAGGCAGTTGTCCTTTACAAGGAGGCCTTAGTCCTGCTCAGCTGGGAGCATGGCTGACACGCGCTTCAGACCTGAAACTTGTCATCAAAGCATACACCTTTATACCTGCTCTTTTGTCATCTCAGTCTGCCAACCACACAGACATTAATCTTTTCACCAGTGGGTGGTCTGTTCAGATTGATATTATTATCAAAGAAAATATTTTTTCAACTCCAAAATAAACATATTCTTTCCATTTAAAATTTGTTTTTAAAGATAAAAACATTCCTAATTTTTAATAGTTATTGAGAAGCATCTTTATAGTACTTGGGAAAACTGATGGCAAATTTCAAAATACAGGGTTGGAAATTAGAATCACATAGAGGCTAATTTTCAAAATTTTTTTCTCAATGCAAATCAGAATTCTAAATAGCTTGTAACATTTAAAAACAGCATGCTTTAGAATTTTTTTCTAGTAGGCTATGCATGTAGAAAGACTAGGGATGTTTTCTGGGCTGCCCCTCTGTTTGCTCTAGTGGCTTGCAGCTATTCTGTAAAACAGACTGGCAGCTGACCCCCATCACAGAGGCAGTGAGAGGATTGAACTACTGTGAGCTCTCTAGAAATGTGAGGAACCCAAGTTCTTCCCAGTGGATTTACAGTGCTGATCTTCATACTCTCTTGTCACCTACAGTTCCCCACACTGCTCAGTGGCCACATGCCGGTGCCAATCCCCGGGCTGGACAGAGCTGCTTCTCCAGTACTGCTCTCCTCGAGCTCTCAGAAATCCTGATGACGCCTGGCTACCACGAAGGACTCATTAACTGATGAATCAAATCTGTCCCCATGGGCTAGTTTACCTGTGTCATGAGAAGGACATTGTGAAACCCTCTGTTAATTTGGTTTGCACTTTTCATAACATGGATAGTCTAGATTTATGTTAGCATTTTAAAATCTGTTTTTTATATATTCAAGTATATATGAAAATCTGTTTTGCATTAAGTGAATTTTAATGTTTTTGTTTTATATCCTCTTAGCTCTTAAGTGTTGAACACTGTTGACAGTGAAGAACTTTTCTTAATGTTTCCAATATAACTAATAAGGATGTGAAGCTTTTTTCTTTAATTCTGCATATGCTAAACTGTGCTTACATACACTATAACCAGCTGTGCCTTCCTTTGCATTTACTTTTATGTAAATGACTTATATATTTTTAGTATTAAGAGAAAATGTTTGAAAGAAAAATTAGTATTGAACAGATCTCTAGTAGAACTTCATTATTTTTCACAAGTAGGCAAAATATGAAAGCATAGTCATATCACTTTTTCTTCTTTGCTTTCAATTGTAGAATTGCCTTAGAACCTCTTTTGAACTGAAATTCAGTAAATGTAATGTCCAAGTAATGTTTTTATAAAAATAAGCCATATTTAGACAATAAATCTTCACAAATGAAAATGTTCTAAAGTGCATTTTCAAAAAATGAACTTTAAAAGGCTAGTCTTTTAACTGTTTATCCTAACTAAAAGCTACAAGTCCATATCATCTAAACCCCCCGAATACTTCCTAGGTTAGCATATTCTTATTTTAAAAAATTAGCCCTGACCTCCCTATTTTCCATAAAAAACTATACTCATCTGATATATTTACTGTGTCAGTGGGAGTTAGAGTTTCTCTAAATCCCTAGAAGTTTAATATTTTAAAAATCTAGTGTTTTGCAAGAGGCCCAGACTGGTGATAAATTTCAACGAAGAAGAGAGTTTGTCATACTAGTAATTTTTGTATGTATAGGCTTTCACAATTTTTGATGGATCAAAAATGCACTGTATCACAAATACAGAACTAGAGGTATCAGAGGGTTTGCCTGAAGCCTGGAACAGGATGCACTGTTTTACACACTTACTAAATTTATGGTGAGAATGAAGGAAACCTGATAAAAGAAAAATTCTTCAGGAACCTCATAATGGTGAAATTGAAAGGATTAACAGTTTGGAGCACTCTGCAGTAAATTCTTTTGTGTAGTGTAGTTTAGAACAGTAATAATAGAAACATTTTTGTTCTTTAAAAAAATCAGTAGGTATCACTTCAGAGGTGCCACCTGTACATGAAATAGGAAAGGCCCAAATTAAGACAGGGGAGCTAGAAAGTGCCCGGTGCTTTAAATTCAAAACTAGGTTAACTGCTGGTCATGGTGGTGGATGCCTGTAATTCCAGCACTTGGGGAGGCAGAGGCAGGAGGATCGAAGTGAGTTCGAGGCCAGCCTGGGCTACATAGTGAGTCCAGGGGCAGCCTGAACTACAAAGCGAGACCCTGTCTCAAAAAATCAAACAAACAAAACTAGGTTAACTATAATCCTTAACTATAACAAATCAATTTGAAGTATGACTAATTGATCCCCCCCCCCAAAAAAAACCCATTTAAAAGGCAAGGATTAATGAAAAAGATTATGAAAACAAATTTCTTGAGTTTTCCTAAAAATTATGTTTAAATACTTAAGATTTTCTATTGGAATTGAACCTCTATAATTGGATATGTGTGTCAAACACTCCAGTACACTTCTGACTATAGTCATGGGAGTGGTTTCAAAATCTACAAATAGACAACTATGTCACTCGCTCACAGGGTAATAATTTTGTACTAGAACAAAGAAGCTGGTTCAAACAAAGGAACTGGTAATTACAGAATGGAGATGTCAGAGCTAGAGGGGCCCTTTGAGAAAGGTCCCCTACCTGGTTCCAAGTGCCCAGAAGCAGCAGGGAGTAGCGCAGGGCCATACAGCTCCTGTCACACAGCAATGGCAGGGGCCAATGATGGTCCCTGGCTCCCTTGCTCCCTGAAGCCTAGCTGTAAGTAACTTCTGGCCCAAAATTCTGTTAGGTAAAGAAACAAATGAGCACATCCAAAACGCAAGATTCTTATAAAGGAACTAAAGGAAGTTAATGTGCAAGAATTTCAATGAAAACTATTTTTTATATAGTTTAAAAATGTCATTGTTTGGAAATACCCAATGACTACAAATCTGATTATTTTCTTTCCCCCAAAATACTGTGCTTAACATATACTCTAGATCCATTTATTAGAAATGAAAAAGCATCAGTTTTTTTAATGGATCAGAATATTTGCTGTAATGTAAAAACTGGAGGTATTGAAGAATAACTCTTACAGCTTTGCCTTGTGTGTGTGTATGTGCGTGTGTGTGTGTTAGGTTCCAAAAAACATTAACTTCTCTTTTGTTTGCTTGATCAGCATTATACTGATACAGCAGCTAAGGTGTGTTAGAACTATATAACCTGAATGTTGGTCTCTTTGTACACATCTTTTCTATTACTGCAAATTTTCATTCACTTTCATATATGTATCATTTTTACTGTAATACTATTTTTGTTTAATAAATACTTTGTGATAAAAGTGTTTCAGAGGCAAGTGAGTTGGTTTATTTCCCATTTCCAAATTTCACTTTTTCTTATGGAAACCAGGTGGAAAATGTGTCTCGTCACCTACCCTTAAGTAGGCATGTTAAAAATGCTTTCAGTTACGGGTATAGAGATGAATTACTGAAGCTGAACTGCAGGCAGAGTGGAATGAGTTTGAAAAGTGATTCCCTCATCTTTTAAATCTTAGATTCTGTCAGTTACAATGCAATGAGAAGTGAACAGGAGGGGGAAACCAGATTACCCCTTTTCCTTTCAGCCATTTTGTTGACAAAGGGGACGAGGAACTGCTAGCCTTGGTGACAAAGCTTATTACTTCCTCAGGGCTCACCCCCAGGCTGACCTGGCTCTGGTTGTTATGGGTGAGTGCAATGCAAGCTCCACCTGGGCTTGATATAGTGGGGACTGAGATGTGTGCAGGGAGGGGAGGAAGGGAGAGCTGATGGAGATGATGATTGACAGGTTCAGTGCCAATACTGTGCCCAAAGAGTCACAGATCTCATAGTTGTATATGTGCAGTTGTAACATACTTGTCGGAGTGACAGGAAATCATTCACTTCTTGAAATATTTGAAAATCAACAACGTCCCATGTACCACTTCAGAAATGTTCGTTTTCCTCAAAAAAGTAAGATATATTTGATCCTGTTTTATACTTAACAACTCGACTCAGTTCTATGAAATGTCCTTTAAATACCGAAAGGCATCCCCGCCACACACCCTTTTATCATGCTGTGTGGGCCTGTACACCTTCAGGATTCACACTAAGGCATATATTATGCTCTACTACCTTCTCCTAGGTGAGTCAGGTCCCAAAGACTCATCTGTATTTCAGCAGATGACAGAACTTCAGTTAATGAAAGCAACTATCTCTAACATAGCAGGCACTGCTCTTAGCTTCTTACATGGGTTATTCAGTCCTCCTTTTCAGGAGGAGTGAAGTACCTACTACGTGCCACTCTACAGATGAGGAAATGGAGACTCAGGGTGTTTAAGTAACTGGCTCAAGGTTGTAGAGGGCCAGATTTCAAACTCAACGCTTTATTTATAAAGGCTAAGGTTAACTTAACAGTACTACATGTTCTCATAGGACAGTATCTGCCACATGTAACCTTCAAATATATGTTCCCTGTACCTTGTTTTCTGGGAGAGCAGATCCTCAGCTGTTGCAAAGCCGGCCCCATGCAGACTCTTCCTGGCCTGCCTTTCTTATCCCCAGTTCTACTCCTGGGGGTGTGTGGGTGGATGGGGGTGACAAGAGCTTGATTATGGGTTAGGTTTTTATTTCCTATTGCCATAACCCTTTTGAGTCCTATATTTGTCTTTGGTTGATTTAGAAAGAACAGACAAGTCCAAGTTAGTATTACATAACTGACCATTTTTACTTACAACTAGGAATTTCTTCACGTATGAGTCCTTTTTTTTTTTTTTTTTTAAATGTATGAGTCTTAATTCGGTCAACAAATATCACTAATTCCCTAAGATGTTTCAGGTAATAAGGACAGAGATGAGGAGACATAATCCCTACCTTCATAGGGCTTATAGATTAGTGAGGGAAAAAACAATGATTAAGTGTTGCTCCAGGGTTAAGTATGAGGATGCTACCGGAAGGAGAGAGTGAAAGAGCAGGATACAAAACCCTATCTGTAGCAGGGTGGGGTAAAGGGCATAGAAGGCCTTTGGGAAGAAATAGCTGAGACCTGAAGAATGAGTAAGAGTAGCAAAGAGAAGAGGGAAACAAGAAAAGAGCAAGCAGAGAAAGACGTTTCAAAAACAGGTGAAGCTGGCTGCAGTGGTGCATACTTGTAGGGCAATTTAGCAAGACATCTAGAATTACAAAATAAAAAGGGCTGGGTGTGTAGCTCAGTGAGAGGGCCTGGGTTCAGTCGCCAGTACTGCATACATCTAACAACAACAACACCCAAAAGAGGTGGGAGAAAAACACTTGAGAAACTCAAGATCAGTATGTTTGGAGTCACCCTGACTGAGAACAAAGCCTTGAATCACTGGCATATGAGAGAGGAATGAAGAAATGCAAGCAACAGAGTACAAATACAAAAGCAAGGAGGAGGTGTCCAGATAACTGAGGCGTAGTGAGGGAGGGACCGAGCAGTCTGTGGTAGAGGAAATGGCTGGACTGGACCCCAGTAGTAATCTTTGGCTGATTTTCAGTGCCTAGCACAGCGGGTATGGCCATTGCCCAGCGATGAACCACAAGGTCTGCAACGTCACTGAGTTATCCATTCATCACCTGACAACCTCATTCTCAACATACCCGAGAGAGGAAATGACAAGACAAGATATAGGATGGGAACATCTGTCAATGCAGCTGGAGAGAAGGCAGAGGCTTCTGTGGCAGAGCACAAGTCCCAAGGCCGTGTTCAGTGAGCCTCTAGGTCTCGCCCAGAGCCCAGTGGAGCTGTCCTCTTGGAAGAAAAGGACCACGGGCAGACGCTGAGCTTTCCTCACCTTCTGAAGGTGCTGTGTCATCCAGATGATCACTAGCCACGTCTCCATGCTCAACTTTATGGGGCGTTCCAGGCACCTCTGCATCTCCGCAGGAGGCTGAGGCAGGAGAAAGCAGCAGGGGCAGCCATCCTGGCTCCTATCCTAGTCTCATCCACCTTTCTGTCTCCCTGTCACAAATGTACACCTGCACATCTACCCTCAAACCCTCTGTTTAACAAGGCTTGAATTAAGCTCTCTGAAGTGGTAGCCTTCCAGAAATACTAGTTTTTCCAATAAGTTGACTTTTCCTATCAATTAAGAGTGTTTCCCTTCATTATAGATCGAAATTGTATGTTCCTTTGTAATTCAATCAGACTTATCATCAGTAACTTGGGTGTATTCTTCCTGTTTTGGTTAGATAGAAAATTGGTGACGTCAGGCATGTTAGTGCACACCTATAATCCCAGCAATCAGGAGGCTGAGGCAGGAGGATCTCCAGTTCAAGGCCAGCCTGGGCTACATAGTGAGTTAAAAGGGAGTGTGAACTACATAGTTAGACTCTGTCTCAGGGAAAAAGGCGGGGGTGGTGTGGTGGTGGTGTGGTGTAATTTCAGTGGTTTTCTAGGTCAGTAACAAATTATTGACTTCAGCTAAGAATGATGATGACTAATGTAAAACCCCACCTATGTAACTGAACCCAGAACCTGAACTTAAGTGTCAGAAAATTCCAGTTTTAGAGACTTCAAGTCTGTACATATGTAGGTGTTCAAATTTTTCAGTTATAAGCTTGGATTACTACTTAACATGTTTTTTGATATAATGAACTTGTTAAAGAGAAATAATTTAAGAATCAAGATTAGAATATTTTAAAAACAGTACCACTGACATTAAAATAATAAATGGGATTATAGTTGTGGATAATAAAAATTTAAAATAAATTAAAAATAAAAAATCATACAGATTGAAAATAAAAAAGGGTGGGGATGTAACTCACTGTGAGGGCCTGGGCCCCTCAGTACTACATATATGTTAACAACAACACCCCAAACAGGTGGGAAATATACAGGAAAGAAGAGAATTAAAATCATATGCTACAAAGAAACAAATATAAAACAGCAATATTAGAAAAAAAAAAAAAAGCATGTAAGACATAAAGAAAACAAATAGCTAATTGGCAGAAATGCTTCCTTATCAGTAATTACTTTAAAAATAAATGGTTTAAAGTTTCCAGATTAAAAGGCAGAGACTGACAGAATGGATTTAAAAAATACGGTTCATAAATATGCTATGTATAAAAGACTCACTGTAGATACACAAAGAAGTTCAAAGTTTAAGGAAGGAAGAAGATATTATCATTCAAATAGCATCAAATAGAGATAGAGGCTGGCCATGTTTCTGCCAGAGAAAATGGACTGAGCTAGTGTGAAGTTACAGGACATGAAGGGTTCAATCCACAAAGAAGCTATAACAATGTCAAATACTTATGTGGCCAATATCAGAGTTTCTAAACAGAAAGCAAACACTGACAGAACTGAAAGGAGCACCAATTCTATAATAGTAGCTGCAGATTTCAATGCTGTGCTTCAATAGTGAGCAGAAAAACCAGACAGAAGATCAATCAATAAATAGAAGCACTGATCACTATAAACCAATTAGACACAAGAGCCATGTAAAATATCCTTCATCCAACCACAATCTTCTCAGAATGAGAAATTCCCCTCAAGTGCACATGAAACACTTCCCAGGACATACCATGTTATGGCACAGAACAAATCTTAATAATTTTCAAAAATCTGAAACCATATACTCTTTTCCTACCACAATGGAATGAAATCAGAAAATGCAAATATGTGGAAATTAAGCAACACACACATCACAGTAAATATTAGAAAATACCTTATAACAAATGAAAACAAAAACACAATATATCTACACTTATGGGATATACTGAAAACAAGGGTGAGAGAATTATAGCTTCAGAAGTCTACACTGAAAGAAAAAGATGTCAAATTAATAAACTAATGATATATCTTAGGGAAGAGAAAAAAGAAAAACTCCAAATCCAAAGCTAAGAGAAGGAAAGAAATATTAGAGTACAGATAAAAGAAAAAGTCAACAAAATCAAAAGTTGGTTCTTTTATTAGATTAACAAAGCTGGTAAAACTGGGCAAGACTGATGTGTGTGTGTGGGGGAGGAGACTTGGCTTATTAAACTCAGAAAATGACAGTGAAAACATTACTACTGAATATACAGAAAAAACAGGATTATAAGAGCATGCTATGAACAACTGTATGACAAACTGGATACAACCAATGTACTGAATAAATTCCAAGAAACATACCAACTACCAAAACGGACCCAAGAAGAAATAAAAATCTGAAAAAAAAACTGTAACAAGTCAGGCGATTGTTAACATTAATCAGTATCTCTTAACCAATAAAAACCTTGGACCAGATAACCTCACTGGTGAATTTTAACAAATCTTTCAAGAAGAATGAATGTCAAACCTCAAACTATTCTAAAAACTGACGTGAAAAGAACATTTCCCTGGCTTATTCTATGATGCCAGCAATACCCTGATACCAAAGCTAGACAAAGATACTACAAGAAAAGAATATACAGGCCAAATACCTTAAGAATCTAGGCAAACATCCTCAACAAGATATTAACAAATTGAATTTGGCAGCATATTAGAAGTTATACATTGGGCGTCCCTAATCTGAAAATCCAAGAATTTAAGATTTCAAACTTTTGGAATAGGAATGCTCAACTAATAAAGTCTATGCAAATGTTCCAAAATTCAGAAAACTCTGAAATACTTCTGGTTCCAAGTGTATCAATAATGAATACCCAATCATTTCATAACAAAACCAAGTAAGATTTTCTCCAGGAATGCCCACATGTGGTTTAATATGTGAAAATCAAGGCAGTACATATTAACAGAGTGAAGAAAACAACATGATTATCCCAACTGATGGAGAAAAAGGTTGTTTTTTGTTTTCTGTTTTGCAGAAATAGAAAATACATTCTATAATCCACGTGGAATTTCAAAAGATCCTTAATAACCAAAACAATCCTGAAAAAGAACAAAGTTGGAGAACCCACATTTTGATTTCAAACTTACTAAAAAGTTACAGTAATCAAAACATTATGGTACTATCTACATGGATAGACATACAGATATACAGACTAATGGAGTAGAGCTAGGAGTCCAGAAATTAACCCTAAGTGATTTTTGACAAGACCAGTCAATAGGGAAAGGGCAGTCTTTTTGACAAATGGTGCTGGGAAAAAAATGGGTATTAGAATACAAAAGAACGAAGCTGGACTCTTCCCTTACACCATATACAAAAATTAACTCCAAAATGGGTTTATGCCCTAACTCTAGAAGCTAAAACTATAAAAACCTTAAAAGAAAATATAGGGGCCGATATTTACAATCTTAAGAGACCTGCCAATAGTTTCTCTGATATAACACCAAAAGCACAGGCAACAAAATAACAAAATAAAAAACTGACTTAGATTTTTTTAAATTAAAATTTATATACATCAAAAGAACACTTTTAGCCAGGCATGGTGGCACACACCTATAATCTCAGCACTTGGAGGCAGAGGCGGGAGAATTGCCGTGAATTCGAGGCCAGCATGGGCTACACAGTGAGTTCAAGGCCAGCCTGAACTACAGAGTGAGACCTTGTCTCAAAGAACCAAAAACCAAAACAAAACCCAGTTTCAAGAAAGTGAAAAACAACCCACAGAATGGGAGGGAATAATTGCAAATAACATATCTTATAAAGGTATAATATCTAGAATCCATAGGGAGCTCTTCTAATATAACAAGAAAAAAGACAAACCTATTTTTAAAATCAGCAAAGTATTTGAATAGACTTTTCTTCAGTGCAAATAAACAAAGGAAAAACAAAAACATATGAAAGGATGCTCATCACTAATCATTAGGTAAATGTAAATCAAAACTGTAATGAAATAGCACTTTACACTTATTAGAATGAATAATAAGAAAGGGACAATAACAAGTATTGGTGAGGATGAAGAGAAATTACAACCCTCATGTTACTAGTGGGAATGTAAAATAAGTGGAGCTATTATGGAAAACAATGTGGCAGTCCCTAAAAATGTTAAATATAGAACTATGTTTGACCAACAATTTCACTTCTGAGTGTTCAGACATATACAAGGAGTGATAAATCAATGCTACTGAATTGTACACTTATAAATAATTAAAATATTGCCATTTTCACATCATAAAAAGGGGGGAAACCCCCCATTAGCTGTCCTGAATCCCAAAGACAGACTACTGTAATGTATTAAAAAAAGGTCTCATAATTTTAGCTGATAAAGCACCCGAGTGTAGCCACTCTATATACCTAGAATGATACATTCAATGTGTGCTGCTAGAGCCATTTGGAAAGAAAACAAAAGAGGCAACTTTTCTTACCTTTAAGAACCCTCTCAGCTTGAGAGGATTTATAGGGTTCAGGGTTCAAAATTTCTGAGTTTCAATTCTCTGCACTGCCAATGTTGTCAAGATCTGAATGGTGCTCAGGTATCAACAAACAAAAACATAAACAACCCCACAAACACTTATTTGCTTGCCAAACTCCTTAACAAAATGAAGAAACACCCCTAGAACTTCCTGGGAAGAAGAATTTGATGTTACAATTGGATATACTTCTTCGCTTTTATAGGCAGGAACCAAACTTATGGATAAACTATAGGTCAAATTTGCAACAAATTAAATATATATCCCATAAAATGATAAATGTGATACTATGTGAGAGTGCTAGTTTATAAAATGACAGCAGAATTTTCTAAACAATTATAAAGCAGCTATGCCACTTCTGGCACAGCAAGACTTCATTATCTTACAAAGGATCCATACACCACTCTGCAGAGTCTGCTTCCCCAGGAAAGAATCATGACTCAACAAAACCACTCTTATACAACATGGAGATTTGTTATTATAAATTCCAAAACAAAAATGGAGAAATTTCCACATAATATTTATAACCTTCAAAGTACAATATTAATACATGTCTGTCAGTTAGAAATAACAGCAGTTTGTTAGGCTATAGGGTTTAACATAAAACCAGTTTACAAATGTGAAAAGCAGTAGTGGTCCAATATTCACTATCACACATGAATCTGTTTCTTTCAGAAAATTTTTTTAAAAAATTAAAATTTCAGTATCATGAAAAATTAAAATAATACCCCAAACATGCCACAATCACTATTCACAAATAAAGTTAAAATGAAATATACAAAAACCCATTTAATACTGTTAAATAACAACAACAAACTACAAGATTTCCTGAACAGAAATGGTAGGACCCCTGAATGTTTTACAGTGAATATCAGGAAAAAAATTAAGTTATGACTATTTTCATGATATATAAGGCAAAAATCTACATGACCATTTCAAAATTTACCAATTAAGATTTATAGTTTGTAAGATGCACTAAACAATAGTTCTTAAAGGTGAACACAAATGCTTAAAACACTGTTACTAACACCAATCTGTGTTTATGATGTTCAAGGAGATGCATAATTAAAACTATAATATTTATTATCTCTGATAAACAGATAATACCTACGATGCTTCAAAGCAATCCTCTAAATTTTCATTTCTCTCATTTGAAATTTATCATGGCTCATTTCAAAGACATATTATAGCTTTATGCTGATTGCAAGTGAATGTTACTGAAACATACATAGCCCCCAAATGAAATAAACCGTGCCCCTATGAAGTATCATCCTTTCTAAAAAAAGAAGTGTACTTAAACATAAGCAAGACTCTCATGTTTAAATGAACTTATATGGTTAAGTATTAACTAAATTAAAGCACAGTGTAAAATAGTTAAGTCTATTAGTATACAAATATCCAGTAATATGCAGCAGACTTTTCTAAAATGAGGAATAGATAACAATAAATAATTTTGGTGCTTTAATTTATTGGTGTCTAAGGTGAGAAACCCAAAATGTCAGGTATTCACTTGCTTGAATCAACTTCTGCATCAACATGCTTTTCTAAACATAATGTGCTTATCAATCTCTAGCTACTCTATTTGCCAATGTTCAATAAGAAATTATATAGCACAAACTTAAGAGTGTTCAAGATGGCTCACTTAATTTTACTGTTAAGCAAAGCTAAATATATATTCCAGGAAACACTGCAGTTTATTTTTAAAAACAAACAAAAATGCAGCAGTAAAACAATTCATGAGGAGAAACAGATGCATTCACATATAATAAAGCCACTGCAACTTCTTTAGGCATTCAACTGTTGTGTTAAATAAACAGACAGTAGTTATTTAGCAGCAATGATTCCGCAATAAATAATGCACTGTGTTTCTCAGTCCTGCACAAAAATTGCAGCTACAGTTACATCAATAGTTGTAACCTACTGGCTCTAATGGCAGAGAAGACCTTAAAACCGACTGTACAAAAAATTGTCACATTGTGACAACAAATATAAAAACAATCTGTAGGTCTGAAATAAAAAGACTCCACTGTGAAGAGGACAGTGCAGACAAACGGAGATTCCAAGTCCACCAAAAGAAATAACTGCCTTCAGATCTGAGTCCTTGATTGGTAAGAAAGGCTGGGGGCTGGGCTTGAAACCATGTTATCAGACTTAAAAGAGCATGCTCTGTCTTCTGTTCTTCCCCGGTCCTAAAATATAAAGTCATTTTATGAGGCAGTTCAAGGTTCAGTTTTATCCCACATACAGTATTTGGTGACTCTAGGAAGCTAATGTTCCCACCAGCAAAAGCTAATATTCCACGGTAAGAGTGATCAGCACTGTCTTAAATGACCCTTTTGTCGATGGGCTCAGTTTATAGCTTCTATGCTTCGAAGTGATGAACCTGATGACTAGGGAAGCACAAGGTGTGTCTTCTGCCTCAGGTACCAGGGGTGGCGAGTGCAGTGATCAAGCCAGGCCACTTGTAAAGGTCTCTGTGCCATCTGCAGCTTTCAGGATCCCTGACTTGACTGAGTCAGATGTCTCTCTGAAGATTTACTGAGCTGCCCACATCATACAGAAAAGTGAGTATGTGCAATGCTAAACATACACAGTTGTGGAATGCACTGTATACTGGTTTTTACATCAATATTTTTACTGATCAACTTATAAAGCAAAAGCTTGGTTCCACACAAAAATTCATGACCGACATGTGAAATGGTTTATGACAAACACACCTGTCTCTGGATAAGTAGAATTTCGAAAACCCGGGTCCTTTTGCAATTGAATCTCTTTCAAACTGAATATCGATATGCCTAAAATGCACATACAGAAATGATCAGGTGAAAGTATAACATTATTAACACAAATACAACCCAACTACAGAGAAAAACTTAGAAAGTATATAATAATTCAACATAGAACATTTACACCACATTTACAAGGTTATATCCCTGCTGAAAGATCTCTTTTTGTTCATTTTGAAGAGAAAATCAAGCGAAGTAATCCCCTTTCAGAACCTTTCTTCTGCCAACTATGGTTTAAAGGATAGTGCAGATGGGTGTTTCTTTAACCAAAATATGTACTGTCTATTCCAGGACTTACTGGGGTTGGGAGACCTAATCAAAACCTATCAGTAGGTTCTACTTCTTCTCTATCCTCCTTTGTCTCCTTATGATGGAAGAAAGGTATGAGGGAAGAACAATAGGTCCCTACAACCATAACTACCTATTTCAAAATCAAACTTGGGTAAATAATGAATTTTAATAATATCTTTAAAAAAACACTCACAATTTGCCTCTCCTTTCTAATCTCTGTTCAAAGGCAGTCTTTTACTAAGAAGCATCCAGTCACTTCTAAGTGAAAAGTCTTAAGGATTTTTTATTCCAGAAAGCTTTGACACTGAATGCTACATAAACTTCAATGAATTAGTATTTGCCTAATAAATGAGAACGGGAGCTTTTCACAACTCAATTCCCAAGCACTCTAATTCCCCACTCACCTTACTCCATTTTAAAGTAAAATAGTGGGCTAATTTAAAAAACAGAACATCATGAGCAAAATTAAAGAGTTATTCCAGGCATAGAAAATCTATTCTAGTGATTCCGATAATGCACTCAACCTTGTCATGGGGATAATAAAGTCAGAGTGACTACAAGAAAGGAAAATCATCTTAACACAGTAAAAAAGAAATGTACTGTCACAAGGAAACCACCGTTTCCATTGTTCTTCATTAATCCTTACAGAAATCCACTTTTGACAACTAAACTGAAGCTAGATTAGGCCTAAGGATGCCATCATTAGATTGCATATTCCAACTTAATTCTAATAAGATTAATAACTGTACTTCAATATTATAGATTTCTTATAAAGCAGGAGCAATGTACTCAGTATTATAGGAAGTGAGAAAAACAAGACATATACCATCCTTCAAGAAATTCTGATCTAATTACAAAACAAGACTAAAAGTCAACAACCAACTCTTCCTAAACCTCTAATGCACCCCAGTCCCCAACTCTGGAAAAATGAAAATAAAGGGAGAAAAACATTTTAGAATTTCCCTTACTTTCTGGTAAAGCATGAATTCTTGGTCCCAGACTTCGAAAGTATACATGTTTCATGGCCTCTTCTGCTGAAACCCTTTTCTTAGATTCATACTGTAGAAAAGGAAAGAACTGCTTCATTAACTTTTTCTCTAACTAACGTAAAACCTTAGAGAAGGGTATATTAGTATTTAAGGGTATTTTTTCAAAGCTTCACTACTTAGTATGATTATTTGCTAACACCAATTTGGAATACTCCAGATAATACTCAAATTTGATTTGCTACAGAGATTATGTAGCAATGATTATGTCTTAGTTCCATATTTCTAAGATAAGGCTGGATCTCAAAAAATTTAGAGTCCTTATATTTTCTGAAGTGGCAAAAAACTTAAATACTCAACCTCTGGTCTTGTTTTTCTTCAGGAACACCAAAGGATTGGAGGAAATACACCCAATACCTCACTACAGACATTCTGCTATGCATCTATCCAATATCCACTGCCCTTCTTCCCTGATGATACAATCTAGACTCATTTAAAGCATCCATACTTCCATCAGATGGATCATGAATCATGACTGTTCTAAATTTAAGCTAATCATAACAATCCTGCTCCCCAATTCCCAGCCTCTCTTACAATTAATGTTCTGGCCAATGAGACTTGGGAAGAAGCCTTGCAGGGGTTTCTGTGAAAGCCTTTGCTTTCAAGATATAAGAGGGTTAATGTGGCTGGTACCACCCTTATCCTCCCTCTTCTTCCTGCTTTGGAGGAAAATGAGTGGTATTTGGAGGTGCAGCATCCTGTAAGGCAGTAAGTATAAGGAAAAAGAGAACATAAGAGAATGTGAATTGCAGAGAACATGGCCTTGACATAGTTGATCCATGCCAGCAGCTGACTACCTCAGACTGTTTTAGGTCACAATAGGAGACCCAGATACATTAAGAGAAACCATATAATACATGTTTTACTTAAGCATGTGCCTAAAGCATGCTAGATACTAACACAAATAATCTTATTTAACAATATATCAAGGTGCTATTACTCATTCAATTCTATATGAAGAAACCAAGGCATAACTATCTACTGAACATTTACAAAATAAGATGTAACTTACTTGAAGAAATTTCGTTATCAATTCAATTCCTTCAGAGTCTAACCTAGAAACAACAACAAAAAGGTAGCAATTTAATCTTTTTTCTGAGCTGGTAGAAACTTCAGATAAAACTATTTCATTTAAATATTTTCATTTGTTCAATTTAAGTGCCCTAAAGTAGCCACTGTTGTTGCCTTCGAATAGATTGAAATTTGCTTTAGCTTTCAAAGACTTACCCTGTCATATTTGCTTAAGAACAAACCGTAAGTAATTGGGCTTCAGTTCAAATTTTGAATATTCAAGAAAAAATTAATCATTAAAGCTATAGAAATTGTTTAGTCACTGTTCTGTCTCTAAAGGATTAAGCTCAATTATAAAGAAAGCTTAAGTACTGCATCAATTTTCAGTGTTCCTGTGAAGACAAGTACACAAGAGCTTCATTTTCCTATCATAGACAGGGATCCTAAAATATCTCTGTGGGTCAAGATAAACAGAGAGACAAGCCATTCAACAAAGTTTTGCAGGATACTCTGCCCATCAATGGGTCTTAGAAGGTACTAAGTTCCATTTAAATGTGCTACAATTTCATAAACCTTCATTAATATGGGCTAAGAAACCAAAGATATAATCAATAAAGATAGCTAATTACAATGATGCAATAAACATAACTAGGAACAGTATTTTAATGAAATTTTTATTTCCGTGAAATAATCCATTGATCAGACACCACATGTTCTATCTTGCACCATGTTTCATGGGCAAAAGTACAATTATGATTATATTTTTCCTTGAGCTGCTCCCTGGGTCCTCTGGATGCTGTAGCCCAAACCTTCTCCAGACCCTGCCAGTCCTCTGTAGTTTGCCTTTCTGGCATATACACAGAACTGCCTGGGAACAGACAAATTAGGTGCTAAAACCATGGAGAATTTGCTTCGAAGGAGCACTTCAACCTTCTGCATTGAACATTACCAAAAGTAAGCAATATAGAAATGACAAAAATAGGATTTATGCTGCTCTGGAGACACACTAAAAATCCCAGCAATACTGTATTATTATTCTTCCTAAGAAAGATTAGTTGAGAATGATATTAGTTGCTATAGTAACAAAAAGAACATCAGTACATATAAATACCTCTAAAATATTTTTGGTGTCAGAAATGTTTCACTGCCCCTTCCTTAGCTTAAGAATAAGTGGGACCAACGCAAGTGTGTTATGTTGCAAGCAATGGGAATGGCTTGATTATAAACCAATGTCCTTATTTGGTATTGTGGTGATAAAAAAAAAATTCTTTTTAAGGAAAGATGGAAAATGTAGTCAAATGGGTTTGTTATCCTATGTTACTGCAAATGTAATATATTCCACAAGTAAAAATACTCTGATTCAAATTTTTATGGGAGTCTCGGATTGACAGATGTGAGAAGAAGCTAACTGCAGTGCTGACACTTGGGACATTGTGTTTTGCTGAGGGGTCAGAAAGAGTTTATATTCTTCAAACACAAAATTATGTGAGTAATACTACCTAAAAAAATATCAATAGATCATTGTATATCAGAGTCAGAAATTTACCTATAACATTTAGGTTTCTGTAAGTAAATGCAGAACAATTCTGTAGAAAGCAGAACAGAAATATATACTGCCTTTGATATTCAATAAGGCATTAATCAATGGCTACTCTCTGGGAAAAGGAACTATCTACAGAAATTGCAAAACTCTCATACATACATTCTACATGCACTTTATTTATAGATCGATTCTATTTATATACTTTGGTGATTCTTGGTCACTGAATTATAAAACAAATGACAGGGCCTGGGGATTTAGCTCAGTGGTTCTGCCACCTGCCCTGCAGGTGCAAGGACTTGAGTTCAATTCCCAGTACCAAAAAAATCCCAAAAAGCTATTTAGCCAAGGATTTAGCTCAGTGGTTCCAGTGCCTGCCTTGCAAACACAAGGTCCCGAGTTCAATCCCTGGTACCCAAAACAAAAAACAAACCAAAACAAAAAATAAATAAAAATAAAACAAATGACAAAGGAAGAAAGAAATTTAATTAGATCCCCAAACATTTAACAACTGTGGTATTATATACTTGCCCTGAGCCTTTATTCAGGTAAATACTTCAAAAGATTGAGAAAAGTAAATGGGTTTTCCCTTTTTGCTTAAGAAAAAGAAATACCTTGGTGCATGGTTTATTAGAGGCTGTGGTTTATATTTTGGAAAGTTGTAGTTCTTGAATTCATCATTTGAAGAAACACCTGGCCAAGTTTCCTGAGATGGAGTTCCTGAATTGAAAAAAATAAATTTGAATGTTTATGAATATACACAAAATTATATATACATATAATTATATATGCACAGACAATAGGTAAAACTAAGAAGTGTCTTAGGGAACAATTTACATTTGCTACTAGATGATTTAATTTCAACTAAATGATAAAAAAATATATGTATTACTTATGGATTATGTAGTGATGCTATTAACACTTGGGGCGATCAAAAACTACAGTGAATGTTTAAATTTAAAAAAAATCTTATTATAAAAGACACATTGCCAGGAATGATGGCATAAGTGTGTCCAACATAAGGGAGAATATTTTGAGGACTGTGAGGAAAGTTAACAGTGATGTGTCTTTTATTGTAATACATTTAAAAAAAAAAATTTTTTTTTTAAATTCACTGTATTTTTTGATCAGCCCATTGATCAACTGTTTATGGCAATTAGTGTCAAATAAAACAGTGGTGTCATCTGCCTTATTCACTGGATTTGGCACCATTTTAGCTCTGGATTTTCCTGAAAGTAAAAATGACCACAAAAGGTAAACATTTTGAATTACTTCAGGACATGGAGGTACCCACAACAATGCAACTAATGATATGAAAGTGGACACCCAGAACTGTTTCAGAAAGTGGCAAGAATGATGCCATATGTGTGTGGGAAGCAAGGAAGAGTATTCTGGGAGAGGCAGATTGATGCACTGTCTTTTACTATAATACACTTTTAAAATGTGCATATTCATTGCATTTTTTGATCATATCTATGAGGATGTCTGGCCCTTTTCTATCCAGATGATACCACTTAAGCTAGAATTATCCCTGAATAATAAGCTGAAGGTAAATTTTCAGTACTATTTCTCCTTTCATAAAATTTTTATTGCAAAGATTAAATTCTGCAAATGAAGTTACCTAGAAAGAACTTATAATAATTAAGCCAATGGTGATTCTTAAACATAATAGCTGTTTATGTCAGCCTCAGTATCAAAAATTTAAATATATATTTTTAGAGATATGGTATTAATCCACCTAGTCAATTGCAGGTATAAATCTCTGGAAAAGGATGTCTTCTGTTACCTAGTAGTCGGAAAATTAAGTGTAGTTCATCTTCCACAGTTGATCCTGGAAACAGAGGTCTTCCAGAAGCCATTTCAAAGAAAATGCAACCAACACCCCTTTAAAATATATCATGAAAAAAAATGAACAGTCTATTTACATATTATGAAGCACAAGAATTTTTACTAGATTGCCTCCAGAAGAATTCTGTATTAGTCTGCTAGAAAATCTCCTGGAGGGCCAGGGATTTAGCTCAGTGGTTCTAGCACCTGCCTCATAAGCACAAGGTCCCGAGTTCGATCCCGGTACACCCCCCCCCAAAAAAAACCTCCTGGAGAGATATCTTTAGATCTAACTAATTTGTTAACATTTACCCTATGTGTCTCAACTTCCACACTGCTAACTCATTCTTTCCACTTAAAATTTCTAGTTCTCTTCTGCATGCTTCTTAAAGAGTATCACAGTAAGTAACAGTCACTGAATGCTTATGAGTGTTTGGATTACTGCCATCAAACCCTTGTGGTGTGGACCACTGCCTGAAACTGTGCACAGACAGGAAGGAGGAAAGCAGAAAACACTATTATGGTAGTCGGGAAAATGACAGTGGCCTGACCTCAACCGAAACACTCAGCTTAACAAATTAGTTAGCAGGGCTGCGGAGAAGCAAATAATTCAAGATTTCTGATGCAGAATGCAGAGACAGAATAGGTAGGTATAGGGTAACTTATGTGGGGGTGTGTGTGTGTGAAGGAAAAAATGGAAGGAGGCTCAGTGAATAGACACCGTCATCTAGAAACTGTGGGAATAGACGTAATTTTAAGATACAGTCCTTCCATTAAAAGACTCACAATCTAGTAAATATACTACAGGTATGTAAAATTTAGTGGCATCTGCTATGGAAAACAGTATGGTGGCTCCACAAAAAATTAAAACAGAATTACTATACGACTCTGCACTTTTACTCCTAGGTAAAAAAAAGAACGAAAATCAGGGCCCTGAAGAGAGATTTACATCCATGTTCACAGCAACATGATTTTCAATAGTTAAAAGATGGAAGCAACTTGAGTGTCCACTGATGGATGAAAGGATAAATAAAATGTGGCAAATACTCAACCACAGACACACTGCAAATGGATGAACCTTAAAGACATTATGCTGGCGAAATAAGCTTAATAAGCCAGGCACAAAAGAACAAATACCGTTATGATTACATTCTTCTGAGGTACTCAGAGTAGTCAAATTCACAGAAACAAGAAGAATGGCAACTGCCAGGAAGTGGAAAGGGGGTGAACTAGGGAGTTGTTTAATTAGTACAGAGTTTCAGTTCTGCCAGATGAAAAAAGTTTCGAAGATGGTGGTGGGGATAACAACAATGTGAATGAACTTAATATCTCAGAAGTATACACTTAAAATTGATTAAAATGGTAGATTTTATGTTATTCATATATTAGAACTTGAAAAGATGTTACATAAAAGATTTTATGTAGTTGTTCAAGACAACAGAAGTACATAACTTATCAGTACAGGTACATAAAAGTATAGGCAGCCCATGGCAACCACAGTTCAGAGGAAGGAATTACCACTAAAGGCCAGGGTGTACTCAAGAAAGAGTTCTAAAAGCTGGGTTTTGAAGGTTACTAGGCACAGGTCCCAGTTAGGGGAGCAGAGTAAGCAGGCTAGGTGGGTGGACTGGAACAAATACCACAAGCAAGCGTGGTAGAGAGCGCTCAGGTTATTTTTTGAGGTGTAGTGAGTGGGCCATATGGATAAAAGGGTATAGATGTAGTGAGAAACAGGCTGCAATAAGTTGCCAAAGGTATTTTAGAGACATCTTTTAGATATCCTTAAGATGAGATTGATGAATTATACTTTACTCTAGAGATAATGAATGCACTGGCAACAAAGATGTTTGGTTGGAGGAGTGTGATGCTCAAAGTGGTGTACAAGGACAGCTATAATATTTTAATTATTATTTTCAGATCAACTTAAAGCAGGTGGATTTTGGTGAATATTAAATGATAAAAATAGTGATTTTGTATTAAATTACTATGTCTCAGATATTCTTCTGAGTGCTTTTTTTATGTATTAGCTCAGTTGTTCTTAATGTTATTTACAGAACTTTAACGTAGTTATTATTACTAATCTCATTTCCTTAAATGAGGAAACACAGGCACAGGCCAATAATTTGAATAAGGCCATCAAATAATGGGAGAAGTGATATTAAACCTAGGTAGTAAGATTTCTTATGACTCTCGTGTCATAACTCTTATTCATTGCTTCTACTGCGCTCTTTAAAATACCCATATATATTTACCACATGTCGATCTGTGTTGAGTACTCGGAGGAACCAAGAAGCACATCGGGTGGCCGGTACCACAGTGTGACAACTTCATTTGAGTAGGTCTTCGTAGGAACTGACTTGGCTCTGGCTAGTCCTTCACAGGGAAAAGAAAACAAAGAAGTAACTCTACTCAAATACACTAAGAATACAATGGGTTTCTCAGCCCCTTCCCCTGCCACAACTCCACTCAGAGGGATGCCTGAGATGGCAATTTCTTTGCTTCTCAAAGCTTCAACAAAATTAAGTTTTATGAATTTTGTTGAGAGCATGTGGTCCTGGGCCAGCAAATCCTTAAGTAATTAAACTATAATAATTCCACAGCCAGAGAATAAGCTTACTTTTATGTGTATGAATGTACCTCAAACAATGTCTTGGTTAATCTAAACTTAAGACATTTTCCTTTTATTTGTGAGTTATGCCAAATTATTTCCTTGATGAAATACAATTAATTCAAAATAAGCCTATTACACTATCTTACTTGGTATAGCTATAAACTTTTATCACCTTTTAACCTAATTCCAACATTCAATTGCTATGTTTTACTGTAAAATCTTCAAATTATTGGTTTACGATCCAGTTGGGTTTTACTGACAGTTTCCTTTCAGAAATCTATTTAGAGAAGGCTTTCTTGGAATAAATTATAATGCTCTGTATTCTTTTTTTTTTTTTGGTACTGGGGATCGAACTCGGGTCCCTCCACTTGCAAGGCAGGCACCAGAACCACTGAGCTAAATCCCCAGCCCTTATATTCTCTTTTTATATTTTAAGTTATATGGATAATTTTAAAGTGAGAGACCTCATTGCTTTTGGATATTATTAACTGCTGTAAATGATACAAAACATTTGGCACTGCTTCCCTCAATATGGAATCCACTGATTATCCAGAAATAAAGTCTTGAGTTCCTACTTTATCTCTTTGTCACTAACATGAGCATTATTATTACCTCTATGCCTCTAAATTCTGATCACCTGAAGAAGCAACAAAGAGTAGTTGAAGAAATATAAATTAATTTTTATGTATTTTATTCAAATAATGACATAATTTGTTTTTAGGTCAAGATTTCTGTTCTATATAACTACATACCTGATGATTGAAATATCAATCAAAAAAAGTCACAATAGGTAAGTTAATATTGAACTGGATCAATTCACATAAACAGTATCAGAAATTTAAATAAATAGATCTCATTCACACTATTGCAGTTTAGTATAATGGCTAGCAGGTGTTAACCGAAACAATGTTGACACTAGTTTAATTACAAATTTTATTCTAGCATCCCAACTTGGTGCAATAAATTCAACAAATTATTTTTTCTACAATTTTCGGCAATTAGCAAGATAGAAAGCAGCTTTCTGATTCATCTTCCTGATAACAAGAAACAAAGGACAGGGCTGTAAATCTGTTTATCCTATAACTGACACATCATCAAGGCAGATGGCCAGTTAAAGTTTCCTCAGTACTTGACTCTTCTGCTCCTGAAAAGACTCTCAACTACGACGCTTGTCCAAACAGGTTCCTGGCTCACTATCACAATTTCAGTACTGGCCTGAAGTGAAATAAGCAATTTCTCCCAATCCGAGTTAACTAAATGTGATAAAGTATTATACAAGCCATTTTTTGTCATTAATGAAAATGTCTGTATCAGTAGTTCTTAGACTTCTGATTTCACTGATTCTGGTAAAAGGGTAGAATTTTCAAAGGGATAAAGAACACAGTAAAATATTTAAAAATCACTCACCCTTCCTTGAAACCATGATATAATGTATTATACAATCAATAAAGACTAAATAAAGCAATAGAGACAAAGTTGACTGTATTATCTCATGAAATAATCAGAATTTCTGGTTGGCCTATAAAAAGAAAATTTGCATGGCTTGCTTTGCGGAAATTAGAAGCAAAATTTAAAGCACTAAGAGCATGCCTGGATAAAAGTAGATTTTTTTTTTTTTTTAAATGGCCCTTGACATTCCTTTTGTGACTATTCAAAAGTGGTTTCTCTGTCACTGCCATTCATTTTGGGATTAAGAACAAAGAGCAATAAATGCAGTTTGGCAAAGAGGAGGAGGGAGTGGAATGGGGACAATAAACTATATGTAAGAAGAGATTATAAAATCTATGTAATAATTTGTAATGTCTTATTTTAAAATATGTGGCCCATTCATTTCATTTTTAAGGCAGGAAATACAAGTAACAATTTACCTTTCAGACAAATGGCAAAGTTTAAATGATCGTAAGTATAGGAACTGTCAGGACAAATTCACCACGTAATTTTTTAATCTGTTACTAAGTAATATTTAAAACATCTGTATTTATGAAATTTAATGAACTACTCCAAAAGTAAAAGTATCATAAATTGTGAAAAATTACAGAGGTTAATGATGGACAATGCATGGGTTTTGAAAACTAAGTTCTGTTAGAGTACTCAAGCTGAGAGCAGCATAAAAACATTAAAGCTACTCTATAAGGGTCCTTCAAAATAAAAAACAATTTACTTCCTAGAAGCAAGAGAAGCATATTATTTTACTACCTTTTTTTCTTTTTTTGGTTTTTTGAGACAGTCTCACTGTGTAGTTCAGGCTGAGCTCGAACTCACAGTGATCCTCCTGCCTCAACTTGCCAAGGGCTGGAATGGCAGGTGTGTGCCACCACACCCAGCTATTTTACTTTCAAATCCCTCAACATCAGATTAGCTAAAATGATACAGATAAATAGCTACAGTTAAATTATTGGGCATATAATAAATATAGAATAATGGTAGCAGGCGTATATTAAGGGAACCTCTTTCACAGAGGTGGCTTCTAAACTCTTGGGTCCTAGGACTTATTTTCTACTCTTAAAAAATTAAGGACCCAGGTTGGGCATGGTGGCACACATCTGTAATCTCAGCAGTCCGGATCGCTGTGGTATGATTCTTTTAATTCTTTGGGGACGATACCCAGCAGGGGGAATAGCTGGGTCAAATGGGACCTCTAAGCCTAGATCTTTGAGGTATCTCCATACTGATTTCCACAGTGGTTGCACCAGTCTGCGCTCCCATCAGCAATGGAGAAGGGTTCCTTTCTCTCCACACCCCCACCAGCATTTGTTATTGGATAATTTCTTGATAACAGCCATTCTTTCTGGGGTGAGGTGGAATCTCAGTGTTGTTTTCATCTGCATCTCTCGAATGACCAGTGATGTTGAACATTTTTTCATATATTTGCTGCTTTTACTTGTTTGTCTGAGAAATATCTGTTCATTTCAGATACCCATTTTTGAATTGGGTCTTTGAATTTGGGGGGTCTGATTTCTTTCAGTTCTTTATATATTCTAGATAGTAGTCCTTTGTCTAAGGTGCAGCTGCTGAAAATTTTTTCCCACACTGTAGGCTGTCTCTTAGCTCTGTTGGTGGTTTCTCTTGCAGTGCAGAAGCTTTTTAAAAAGAGGAGATCCCAGCTGTTGATTCTTTGTGCTAGCTCCCGTGCTACTGAGGATTTGTTCATAGTCTTTTCCTAGGTCAATGTCTTCAAGAGTTCTACCTAACTTATCTTCCAGCAAATTTAATGTTTCTGTCTTAATGTTTAGATCTTTAATCCACTTCGATCTTAGTTTAGTGCACGGTGATAGGTATGGGTCTAGTTTTAATCTTTGGCAGGTTGAAATCCAGTTTTTCCAACACCATTTATTAAATAGGCTATCTTTCCTCCAATAAGGATAGCCCCTTTGTCAAAGATGAGGTGGCTGAGTATATCTGTAGTTGTTTTTGCATCTTCTAATCTATTCCACTGATCCTCAGGACTGTTTCTTTGCCAATACTGTCCTGTTTTTATCACAGTAGCTTTGTTGTATAGTTTCAAGTTGGGGATTGTAATACCCCCAGCCATGTCTCTGTTGCCTAGAATTTCTTTTGCTATTCTGGGTCTCTTCTGGTTCCAAATGAATTTTTGGATTGTTTTCTCTAGTTCTGTGAAATATATTGATGGAATTTCAATCGGCACTGCATTAAATCTATACAGTAGTTTTGGAAGTATGGCCATTTTCAATACATTGATTCTTCCTACCCAGGAACAAGGGATGTCTTTCCATTTTCTTAAATCCTCCTCGATCTCCTTTTTCAGAGTGCTATAGTTTTCAGTGTAGAGATCTTTTGCTTCCTTTGTTAGACTGATTCCTAGATATTTCATTGTTTTGGATGCTATTGTAAAGGGAATTGTTTCCCTAATTTCTCTCTCAGTGAGTCTGTTATTTGTATATAAAAAAGCTATTGTTTTTTGAGTGTTAACCTTATATCCAGCTACTCTACTGAATCTGTCAATTAAGTCTAGTGTAATTCTGATAATATATTTTACCTTTGGCGATCTCTTCCTGAGAAAGGACCTCAGGAGCCCCAGAGGTTTATGAACTACCACCTATGAACTCCTGGCTTTTGGTATTGGTTGCTAATAACCAACATCAACCACCCACCAAAGTTCTGTCAAATATCTTATTCTGTGGGGTACAGAAACAATTTCCAAACCCACATATAAAAGTGATGACACGCTGTGACAATGGTTATTCTTTTTATACTTAACCACCTGGAAGTATTTATAAATATTTCATCATTCCATACCAAAATCTGCTAGCTTTAATTCTCCTTTTTCATTAATAAGGAGGTTCTGTGGTTTCAAGTCTCGATGCAACACCTTTCTTCTGTGGCAATATGCCAAGCCACGTAGAATTTGGTAGAGAAATAGCTATAGAAACAAATAAGTGAAAATCAGTCTTATAGATAATGAGCTTAAGGATAAAGTATGATGTAAGAAAAGCAACTGATCTAGAACAGTAAAAGAAAAAATCAAGTAATTTTACCCTTTAAAGAACAATGCCTTTTCTTTTTATAGTTGTCTGCTGAATTTTACAGTTCATTACTCAAATTGAAGTATCTGCCTTTTTGATGTAACCATATCTAGGAAAATAGATACTATAAATAAAATGAAACTTTGTCTTAGTGGCAATAGTTCAATTCTCATGAACTTATCAACTTACTAAGGCTTAGTTTGATTTTAAAATCCTGACCTAACAAGAAACCAGCCCCTGCCACTTATACCCTTCCTTCTAAGAACAAACAAAAACCCACAAATAATCAAAAAACAAATAAGCAAAAAACCCTACACCTGATCTGGACAAGTGTGTTTCAAGTAAGGCAGTGATGGCGTTATGAAAAGTCTGAATATTATGCAGAAGGTGCTACATCAAAAATAATCTAACCAGCTTCTATCACCCACCTCCTGGGTACTGTACTTTCAGCACCTCCTACTCAGTCTTGAAAACCTGCTGATTCAGAAAGAGGCATTGGCACTATAGTGCTCTGAGTAACTGAAAAAGTAATACCTGTAAGGCTAATGGAAGTGGCTTCATGACGGATTTTGGTGGAAAATGTGATGTGGAACTTATCTCGATTCTTTAAGGTTAATGAAAACACAATTTAAATACAGAGGACTCAAGAGGTTCCTTCTATACCTTTCACTTGCAGGTGAAGAACTGGCATTAGAACACCAAGAACAACCCAAGGTAGGAAGTGTATGATTGCTTCAATGAATTCTAAGCAGCAGAGTTTCTAGACTCTTAATATTTATGCATTGTGAAAACTCCAAAATTACTATTTCAATATATTTTTAAATTTTATGTTTGAAAAATATAAATAAAATTTTAACAAGTGAATAGTAAAATGCTTTCCTACTTTTGTAGCCCATATAGACCTGAGTTTAAAAGATAAAAATTCCTCAGACCTTTATCAAATTATTAAAGACGGTTTTCCTTCCAAATTATTGCTAATATAAAAGCAGGAAAAATAGATACACAAAATTCACAACACCTTGCAAAACAAAATGTACAACACAATGAAAACAATCTTCACAGAATATATATGGAAATATATTTAAAGCCCTGTTCTAAAATTCTTAGCAATTGTTACCCATTTGATCAGAGCTCTCTTTTAGTAACAGAAACTGGTTCACCTTAACATCTACAAAACTTACAATTTAAAACCAAGAAAACATACATTTAAATTTACAACCTACAGAATTAGAAATGTCTTAAACACAGAGATGGGACAGCCTGTTTCCAAAATAGATTATCATAAACTGTTGACCAAGTTTGGATAAATAAATCTTTGCTAAATGTGGACTATACCATTCAGGTCAAAGTGAGTTGGTTCTTAACTAATCTAAGAACACAATTATATCAAATAATTTTACTCAACTAATAACTTTTCATCTGGTACTAGCAAAATTTTCTAGCACTTCTTGAATTCTTAGTTATATTAAGAAAACACAACAAGCATCTTACTTTTGTTCTGACAATATAAACGGGTGTTTCCAGCATAGCAGTCATAAGACCTCTAGGTTCTTGACCTGATTCATTCAGTGATAACCCTAAGAAGTTGTTACTTTATAATTACATACCATTTAAAAATACATTGGGGAAATCACCCTTTAAAGGGGGCTTTTTGCATAATGTACCTATCATTTATATTTATCTTAAATATATTTTAAAAGCAGAATATGCTAGTATATGGATTCTACATGGAAAACAGTAAGTTGTAATGCAAAAGAAAATGTTAAGAGTAATTAAAAAAAATTTTTAAATGAAGCAGTTTTACAGAAAGGTTTAATCCTAAGAAAGCTATATATATATATAATGTAGTAAACAGAAGTTGATCAAATATATTCAGAAGACAAAATCTATTTAAAACGCTGGAGAAAATTCTGAATTAGAGTTACAAAGCCAGTATATTTTACTGTGTAACGTAGTTCATTTATGCTTTCAATAAAATTTAAAACTGTACAGAAAAACATACCTTTACATTGTGCATACTCATGATGTTCCCACAGTCATCCATGTACTGTTTTAGGTCTTTATCCTGAAAAACACAGGACTTAACTATGTAATACATACTTTTCAGAATGGATGGTTCAGTCACTTACTAATATTTAATTTTACAAACAAGCTGCTTTTCAAGGAAAGATACAAGATGCACATCACCCACATAATTCATTTAAACATCAATAATTACTAATGTCCCTGGGGCTGTTAAAAAGTTCAATTTGATATTTTATTTTAAAAAATTAAATTAAATGCTTACCAAATATTCAAAGACCAGAGTCAAAGATTTATCAGTGTGAACAATGTCATGTAAGGTTACTATATTTGCATGTTTTAAATCCTTTAGTAGAGAAACTGCAAACAGGAAAAAAAAAAAAAGACTCTTTAGTTTTTTGGTAGTCTTTATAAAAACCTGAATTAACCTAACATATGAACTGACTGTATTTAAGCTTGGCATGTTCAATTTAAAACAACAATTCACCAAAGGGATTGGTAGCATTAATTTTTTTTTCTTTTCTTTTATGATTTTAGATTTGATTATAAAATCTAAAGTTGTTCTCAATATTAAAACTCCCCACCTTCTGTTTTGTCTTTAATGTTAACTTTCTGAGGCTCTGGGATTAAACAAAAAGTGGAAAGGGCCTTTTCTTCCTCCACACCGTTAATCAGTTGTCTCAAACTACTTCTGAATAATTCACCTTTTATTTATAAAATGATATTATGATATAAATCTTTGGTTTATTTCCTTATATTTATTAATCTATGCAGCTAATTTACACTTACCATGTTCCTTATGTACCATATAACACTTCCTCATGTCAAGTATTTGGCAATAGTTTCTAATGATTTCATCATAAGCTATACAATAAGAAAATTCCTCTCTACTGAATTTTTAAAAATTAACATTTTAAATATCTAGTTATATTTTCTAGTCGCCTATTGTTTCTATAGCTGAACTCTACTTATTTAAAAATATTCATAAAGCTTTGGTTTTAAAATTTCAATATAAATATTATACCTTCTCTTATAGCTGTACAGGGTGCACCTTCTTCATGTTCCAATCGGATCTCTTTTAATGCCACCAAATTCTCTGTCAATTTACTTCTTCCTTTATATACTGTTGCATATGTACCCTATAAAACATATTTTTGAAGGATACATCAGAACTGTCATGAGTCTTAACACCATCTATGCAACTTCTAATCTCGAACCATGTCAAATTATATCTTGCAAAGAAAACTCCACAAAGATCAGCATTAATTTTTCTTAGAGAAGACTATTAATTCCCCAACACACAGATTCCATACTCTTATAACACTAGAGTGTCTCAAAAGTACAAAAGCATAGGGAGCGTAATTTACTTTTTTGTCATTTATTTCAAATTAACAATTGGATCAATAGTTTTAAAATCAAAAGTGCTTTATTTGCAATGGAGTGTGAGAAGTAAAGGACATTAACCGAGCACATTAAATTAAAATATAATTATACTGTTAAATCATAAAAAATTTTTACCTGTTTTCAGGCTTTTCAGGATCTTTTATACATTAATTCTCCTTTTAAAAACTCCCTTAAGCTTCCCATTTAACTAAATCTATTAAGTTAATCTATTTAACATAATCTATTTCTTGTTCTTTCTTACTGGAGGAGGTAGGCAGTTTCTAAATTACTAATGCTACAGGCAGTAGCCAAGTTCAAGAACATCTGTTACCCTTCATTGAGATGTGTTTTCCTCTAGAGATACCATTTGTTCACAAGTTTCACAGTTTCCCACATGGCAGTGCAGACAGCAGACTGTGAGGAGGTTAATGGACAAACCTGTATTTTGTTACCCAGAAAGCATAATACTTTGTGTTTCAATACAATTATAAGAAGCCTATAAAAAATACTCAACTTCTCAAACTGATGGAATAATTTGCAGGATTGAAGGGCCTTATTCCTTCTAATTTTCTGTTTACTTTTCAAAACAAGACACAATCTTTAGTCAACAATGTTTGTACTTTTTTTCCAGATGGGCAAAAACTGAAGAGTAATAAGAGGAGTTCAGAAAAGAAAAAAAAAAGTCTTACATTTTTGAAATAGGTATTTACTTACCTCTCCAAGCTTTTCCAATTTGATGTAGGTTTCCATTTTCCCAAACCCAATTTCTGACTGAAAACAAACAATTGTAAATTTAATGTTTATTTTAAAAATTTCATTTACTATTTTTTCACAACTTGTAACACTCTTCTACTCTAAAGTCTTTAAGAATAAAAAAAACCTCTAGATATAATCAAATTGAACATCTTTCAAAAATACACTCAATTTTAGAACATTAAAAGGGTCAAAAACATTGAAGTCCATAATTATAGCTGTCAACCTACTTTATATATGAATTGTTTAACTTTCTGCTATGAACATTTATGATACTAAAAAATCTTATAAAAGATGACTACTTTGTTTCTCTTTCAACAAAAATGCAGAATAATTAGTTTTCCTAAATATTTGCTTTCACCAGTCTTTGAACTGCTTAGGGAGAACTGAAAACAACAAAAAACTATTTTTTTCAGGTTCTCCAATCAAAATAGCATTTTCAAAAAACCAGAAAAGCACATTTCACTACGGATCAGGACACAGCAAACACAAGAGCAGCAATTAAGTCTAATTGTAGCCAAAAAAATAAAAAGGTTTACAAGTGACTTTTCAAACCCTTGTTTTTAAACCTTTAGCAAGCTTGCCTATTTTCTACAGTGTCAATAAAGTAGATGAAACAGACCTAAATACATACTGCAAACCCCATATATTCAAAATAAAAAAGAAGCAAAACTAAATTCTTAACTATAAAACATTTAGGAAAAAATACAGAAAGATATAAAATTAGAGACTAAAAGAACAGAAATTTTTTAAAAGAGAAGTAAACATGGCCGGGGATTTAGCTCAGGGGTTCCGCCGCCTGCCCCTCAAGCGCAAGGTCCCGAGTTCGATCCCCATTACCAAAAAAAATAAATAAATAAGCAGAAGAGGGTAAGAATTCCCTTAAAATTGCTTTCTAGAACACCTCTGTAGACAGAAAAGGCAATAATAATATAAAGACAAATTCATTTATTGCTTAAATGATGCTAATGGTCTTAAATGCTAGTGAAAGAAAATGTGTAACTTTAGTTCTGAAAGGTGTACAAATTGTATTAGATTACTAAAAACGGTTATAGCTGTGTGTGGTTGTGCATATCTGTAATCCCAGCACTCTGGGAGGCTAAGGCAGTAAAACTCAGCAACTCAGGAAAGCCCTGCCTCAAAAAGGAAAGACAGAGAGAGAGAGAGAGAGAGAGAGAGAGAGAGAGAGCTGAGTAGTTCAGTGTGAAGGCCCTAGGTTCAATTTCCAGTGCACCCCAAACCCCTATATTATAGTCAGGATCAAACATGAAATTTTTCTGGGGCTTCCAAATAAAATAAAAATATACTTGATGATTAAGACTTCACAGAGCTTAAACACTTTGGACAATAGAGTAATAAACTGTTCAATACTGAATGGCCATAAGTTGCAGAGGACCCTCAAAGCAAGATTTTTTTTCCTTTTGTTATAATAATACATATGTTAAAAGTCATATGGAGACTTGCATATCCAATAGTAGGTTTCACAAGCTAAAACTCTGGTCACAGGTAGTATTACGGAATGACTGAAAAACTGCTTCTTCTCGTACTCTTCATATTTTTTTCTTATGTATATGGTATTTTTCATGAAAAAATTAAATAAGAAAAAATGAAGTTTTGGGACCATCATACAGTATCCACCCAGGTATCATCTTGTACATGGACTCAGTATTAACTTCTTGACTTTTACTACCAATAACTACACAGAACAATGAGGTAAAACTGCAAAAGATAACTTTCCAAATACAAGCGAAGTTTTTAATTTTAGTATGGAACTGGAAAATAGCCCACTATGTGGCACATAACAGTCTAACTTTAAATATACTTTGGTCCAATGGTAATCCTGACAAAAATGTGGAAGTTTGCTCTGAAGATTGATTATAAATCAGTGGCTGTAAAGACAAAAATGTTTTTACATTTAAAAATGTATCATATAAAATCTGTAAGAAATAAAACTGTGCCAGGCATGGTGGCTCACCATTGCAGGCAGGAAGACTGAACGTTTAAGTCCAAGTCCTGGCAACTTGGTGACTTAGTGAGACTCAGTCTCAAAATAAAAATGTTTAAAAAGGGCAAGGGAAGCAGCTCAGTGTGAAGGCCCTAGCAACACCACCACCATCAACAACAACAGAAACCCCAAAATAACAACAAAAACAAGGAACAGAAGGAACTCTAAGGGATACATCAAACATTTAATATTACAAAGTCACTGCTCAGAGAATGAAATTTAGTAATATTTTTAGAATATGCAGAAAATGTGCTTTCTGAAGAAAAGTTACTGTAGTTGACAATATTTATCTAGCTATTGGAGAGGACTTTGAATGTCCTCAACACAAAGAAATGATAAATGTCTGAGGTGTAGATGTGTCAATTACTCCGATCTGATCATCACACATTGAGTATATGTATCGAAATGTCACACTGTACTCCATAAATGTGTATAACTATGTCGGGGAAAAATAAAAAAATAGATATAAAAAAGAAGTTTACTGCACCATAATTATTAAATACGATTATAATTATGAACTTAATCTCAATAACTGGCCTATAAAATAAACACCACTACTGAATTCCACCCATGCAGGCAGCCAGAGAACTGAGACAAAGGCACAGTTATAGTAGTGAATTGTTTGTCAGATGCTAAGTCAAGAGTAAAGCAAACCACCCTACCCCCCATTTTAATAATTTCCAACCTTAAGAATTTAATGATTACATCCAAAGAATAATTAGTGAATGCTTAAATGGAATTTTTAGAAAAATTTGCTTGCACTTTTATCTGCTGAACATGACAAGATTAACAATAGATATAATGACTAGCTTGTTGACATGCGCTCCTACAGAAATTATTCAGAGGACAGAGGACAAAGCTCATTTATTCAATGTTTACCAAGCACAAGGTTAGGTGCTGAGTAGATAGTGAAGATGACAGATATGATTCCCACTTTTCCAAGTTCACAATCCTACCTTAGATTATTTTAGAATACTTGAGAATTATAACAACTTCATGAAAACAGCCAGAAATAACAGCTAAAGAAAATGGCACAATAAGCTTTTGTATTTTGATACATAAACTGTCTTAATTCTGCTTTCCAGACAAATGATGATCATTTTTTTCCCTGATACTTCATTGTTCCAAGAAAATACTTCACTTTCTGGCAGCAAATTCCTGTTTGGATGGTTCTTTTAGCAAGAGCACATGAATATTAAAAATACATATATATAGGGCCGGGGATTTAGCTCAGTGGTTTCACTGCCTGCTGCACAAGCGCAAGGACCCGAGTTTGATCCCTGGTACCAAAAAAAAACCCAAAAACCACATATATAAAATAAATGATCTTATAAAAGGTTTACTTACAATTCAATGGAACTTGTAAATGGTAACAAACATTATAGGATGTAGCAACATAATTACTGGATCACAGAAAGATGTATGAACATGCTAGAGATGCAGTTCTAGTTTAGTTTAAAAACAAGTGAAGTACATACATACAGTGTTCCACAGGTGCCATGTCAAAGTAAGTTAGGTATATGAGAAACACTGAGAGTGGAGGAAGGATTGCTCAAGTACCCATTTCCATCTTCCTGCGAGATTTACTGAGTGACTGTTTCAGACAGCAATGGATTTTATCCTTTAAGACATGTGGGAGCAGAAAAGAGATCAAGACCCTCAATACCACTTAGTCATTCTGTCTTAGAAAATTTGCTGTTTACCATCATCATGATTCTTGCTAATTCTGTACTTAATGTGCCAAAGGCACACTGTATGTGGATTTTGAATCTCACTTCCACACTCCATAATATATTTACTATTTTGAGAGACATGACTTGATACCCTATTTCTTCATCTACTCTTATAAATAAGAAAAGACTACATATGATCTATACTGGTAAATCCATGAATGAGGGATCCAAATTTACTGTATGGTAAGGAGTAAACTCTTGAAATATACAATCTGTAATTTTAATATAATGAGATAAAAACTGCTGCGTATATTATTATTTTAAGTGCAACAAAGCTTTCTGGTGAATCCTGATTGTTTCTATATAGGCTTTCCTATTAATCTAATTCTTAACTATGTTAACTATGCTAAGAAGGAGACTATTTCATTCTTATGAACCATAAATAAATATTAAATATGCCTTCAATAATTCAATAACCAGTATCTTTAACATGAGATATGATGACTAAATGCAATGTGGTATCCTGGGTTGGATCTTGGGACAGAAAAAGGATGTTAATGAAAAACTAGTGAAATGTGAATAAAATGTGGAATTTACTAGCGATGCTGGTTACTTAGTTATGACAAATGTATTAAAGTAACATAAAACATTAATAATAGGGGTAACTGGAATGTGGTACATAAGAAATCACTAAACTATCTTTGTGATTTTTCTGTAAACCTAAAACTAAAATTAATAGTTTAAACAGAGTCAAGGGAAGGAGTAAGTTAAGAAAGGAAGACCGAATATAAGAGTACGTATATAGGAATAACAGATATTCTAAGCATCCTAAGAAGATGAGACAGGAAGAAGCAGAACTTCTCAATATTAGAAGAAAAAGAATAGAGGAAGTGTAGCAGATTGACATGCTTGTTATTCAGAAAATGAGTTTTTGGTTCGTAGCTTCTATCTCCTTTATCATGCAGGAGAACACATCACCTCTAAAGTAAAAGGTGAAGAACTAATCAAAGAAAGACAGTGGGGTAGACAGGCAATACTGAGACTATTTGAGGTTGACTATCATGAATTTACAGTATATCCAACCAGTTATCCTATGACTCCAGCAAAACCAAATTCTATGACTTTTTTCTTATTTCCCATGCAACCAAATGTTTCATATCATTTTTACTTTTCTACTTATTATATATTGCTATTGGAAAATATGAAAGCAATAAACTAAGTTTTATGCCTTTTAGAAAGAAAAGGCTAAAATTTTATATTTCAACTTGAAAAAGTATCTTTAAATATACTATACTATCCATGGAAGCATGATCTAACACATGTTAAGATCACTTGTCTTTTCTCAACTGGTTTTCATCTATTTCTAACCTTCACACTCTTCATATACAAATCCTAGGGTCCAGATTTCTCTACTGATCTCCTTGAATTGATCTCAAGATTGTTCAAAGAGAACCATCTTGTTGAAAAAGAATTTACTTTTTAGTTATTTGAAGAATATATGGTTTACAGAAACATGAATTCTAACACACGTAAAAAATGGTGAACATCCTAACCATCCACCTATTCCTATCCTTCAAGGGTCCCCCTCCATTACATGCTTTTAAATATATACAGGACACAGATTTTCATTTTGAAGAATAATTTTCTAATATATTTCAAAACAATGCACTTTAATAAGGTAGATGAAGAATGAAAGGGATCCAGAGATAAAACCCAAAACACAGCTGGCATGATTTGTTTGTGATATATAAACCATTTCAAAACCAAAAAACAAGGGAAGAGGGTAGAACAGGCAACCATAATGAAAACTCCAACTACTTAACATTCATTACAGGGCACTGTTTTGCTTACTTTCATGTAGACTCCAAAAAAAAATAGCTCTTTGATGATAGTGGTATGAGTTGTGTGATGAGAGCAGGGGAGTATAGCTCAGTGGCACAGTGCTTGCTGAGCATGTGGGAGACCCCTTGCCTAATCCACAGGACAGGACAGGACAGGACAGGACAGGACAGGACAGGACAGGACAGGACGGAGAGAATGAGAAAAATAAAGAAAAACTGCCTGGTGATTAAATCATACTTTTCTATCAGAACAAACACAATTTTCAAAATTTATCCTAAGTGCCAATAAAAATTGACAGTCAAAGAAAGCACTTTTGGTGTATGGTGACGTGCACATGCAATCCTAGCAATCAAGAGACTGAGGCAGGGGCAGAGGGATCACTATACGTTTGTGGCCAGCCTGACTACATAGTAAGTTTAAGACCAGCTTGAACTACAAGGCGAGATGAAAGAAAGAAAAAGAAAGAAAGAAAGAAGGAAAGAAAGAAAGAAAGAAAGAAAGAAAGAAAGAAAGAAAGAAAGAAGGAAAGAAAGAAAGAAAGAAAGAAAGAAAGAAAGAAAGAAAGAAAGAAAGAAAGGAGGGAGGGAGGGGAAAGGGAAGAGAAGACAGAAAGAAAGAAAAGAAAGAAGAAAACCTTTGACCAGAAAATGAAGTGACAAAATTATCTCAGTAAGTTTTAAGCAGTGATGCAAAATTATAATGATCACAAACCTACAACAAAATCAAGTTGGTGTTACATTTAATGAATGTGTTCATAGTCTGTGCACAGAATAAAGTAACTTTACTTCAGAATATCTCATCAAAACAAAAATTACAAAGATATTGGTGAATAAAAAAATTACATGATACAATATACAACTGCTGGCAATCCAAAAGTAATCATCAATTGCTCTTCCCTCAGGTACAATGTTCAACTAGGTACCAGGTCCTGTCTGTTTATCTCTTTATGATCCCTAGAGTGTATGTTCTACTTTCTATTTCCATAGGAGTGCCACATTATCCCTAATTTTGGGTGAATTTCTAATCTATCTCCATGCTTCCAGTCTTTCTTGTCCCCTACCTTATCATTTAATTTGCCTGAAGCTGTCATCTGAAACAAAAATGTGATGTCAGTCCTTGTTTAAGTAGATACTTCTGATGTCCTCCCATTACACGGAAGAAGTAGACTCCATGCCCTGACACCTAAGCTGTTATAACCTGCACCCATCCTACCCTTTCCAGCCCTATTCCATATTTGCTCTTCATATCACTTATATTATCCCCAATTGGCATATACATTCATAATGCTGGGTTTGGAATATACAAGTGTTCTAATTCATATATCCATTTTCAATTTGACAGATTCCTACTCATCCCTGTAAGGTCAGTACAAGTGTAACATCCTCTGTGAGCTTGTGATTCACTGACATTTCACTTGCTGCCTTTTCTGCTGTTCAACAGCACTTGGCATGTATCTCTAGTATAGGACTACCATCACCCAAAGACATGCACACAACATGCGATCGCCTGAATTTATGTCAAAGGTGACATGCACCACAGAAAGCTCTCTTTTCCATAAAGTGCTGGGACAACTGCTCCACACTAGAAAAAATTTCCAAGATATAAAACTGACAAGGCTCCCTTATAGAAAATATATAAATAATTCCTATAAATCAGTAAGAAAAAGGAAGAAAACTCAATAGAAAAGAGACAAGAGATTTGGGCAGTCAATTTACAAAATGTCTAAATAACCAACAAAAATATTTGAGTGTTCAACTTACTCATTTAGAGATGCAAAATAAAACCATAATGAGACCACTATCTATTTACAAGAAAAGTTAATATTAAAAAAAGAAAAAGAAGAGGAAAAAGACAACAAAAGTTGGTAAAGAGCAACTAGAAATATACACTGGTGCTAAGTATAAATTGGTACTACCACTTTGACAGTTTGTAGGAAAACTGAACATATACATACAACATGATCCAACAATTCCACTCTGAGATATTTACCCAGCAGAAATTTTTACATATGCTGACCAAAAAACATGCATAGGAATGGTGACAGAACCACAACTTGGTAATAGTCAAAAATCGAAAACTACAACCCAAATGCCCATCAACAAGAGAATAGATAAAGTATAATACACCCCTCCAAAGTATGACCACTTATACAATGAAACGAGGACAAATAATCTATACCTACATGCAACAACATAGACCAAACTCACAAATTTAACACTGAGCAAAAGAAACCAAATTTTATATTTTGTATAATTCCATACATACTGGAACACATATATTTTATATATATAAAAACTTTGTGTAAATATGCATTTCCATATATTATATAAAAGATATTTTAGTATATTTATATATTCATAATTATACAAAGTTTAAGAATGATCAGAAAATATTACATATTTTTAAAATAACGTATACACGAATATGAATAAAAATGATTCAGGTATTAAAATGAACTATAAAAATAATACAAAGAAAACAATGTGGCCCATATGGTCAAAACTAATCTTTGACATCTGAAGACAGGGGTTATGGCTACAACTGAGGAACTGAGTTATCAAGTGAAGAGAAAGATAACAGTAGGGAGTTCCTGGGACATTTTGAAATTTTCGTTTATTCACATGGGTACTGGTTACACAAGTATGTTAACACTGCAAACACACTGTTTTATATAATTATGGTTAGAGTACTTACTGCATTGTATAATCTAGAATATATTAATATATCTTGTATATCTAGTACATATAGTACATATATCTAGGAGACACATCTAGTATATATTCTGTACATCTAGCATATATCAATAAAATTTACCAAAACTAAAATACAGTTTAAATCCTATTGTAATATACAAGCATCTTAAGAGCTTTGATAATTCTTAATGGAAAATGATAAACTCTAGAAGGTAATATTAATTTTAGCTATCCAAGTTTTATATAAAAAATTAAGGACTGAGTATATAATTTAGCATTAGAGCGCTTGCCTAGCAGGTACTACAAAAAAACATAAATAAAAAATTAAAATATTTAGGGCCAGGGATTTAGCTCAGTGGTTCTGCCTCCTGCCTCGCAAGCGCAAGATCCTGAGTTCATCCCTGGTACCAAAAAAACCCAAAACAAAACAAAAATTAAAATGTTTAATTCAGAAAATTAAATAAACAGATCTGATGGTTGCAGGTACAGGAGACCAAAAACTTACTAAGGAAGCTCTACGAGACCTTCGGCTCATCGGTTGATCAAATGGTGGACTGTTGATTTGTAACTTTTCAAGATATCCATCAGGTATTCTGATATCTGCAGGCAGGGATAACCGCTTATTTAAATCCTACAAAAAGGAAACAAACAAAACTTAGGTAATCAAAAATAGAAAAGACTTTTGAATTTATGGGCTTTACTGTATTACTTTTTAGTGATAAATAATGAAAGTTTTATTGCAGTTGCAAAGTTACCCACATTAATTACACATAACATACTGAAAGTAAAAAATATTTACCATAAGCAAAGATATACAGTGCAGTTTTTATAGAAATAAATAAAAGGACCCAGTTATTTCTGAGTCCTTTCATTGGTAATTTACTTCGAAATTACTATACCTTATAGTATAATATATAGAATAGGAATAGGCAAAGACTACCACAAAATGTCATCAATTTAAATAAACAAGTCAATACATGATTTTTGTATACAATATGGTGAAAGAAAATTAATATACTTCCTTATTTTTATTTCATTTAATTATGGAAAGTGAGCTGGGCGAAACTTGAAAAGGAATCGTGCCTCTGTGATCAAATCAAAAAACATAAATCTATAAAAAGAAATCCCTTCTATTCATAATACTAATCAAACCATGTACAGGAAGTGTATAAATATTAAGACACATAAGATTTAAAAAGACATATCATGTTCCTAGATGGTAAGACTAAACAATGAAACAATACTGATTTTCACCTCATTAATTTTATATACATTTTCATAACCCAAAAAACAAATCACAGTATTTTCAGAACAACATGTCTAAAATTCACTTAGAAAAATAAATAGAAAAAAATCCAAAAACATTCTAAAATATAGAGCAGATATTCTTTGATTTGCTATGGGGTTAAGTCCTGAAAATCTATTTTAAGTTGAGAATATGGATGAGTCCAGAATGTATTTAATACACTTAACTTCCTGAACAGCATAGTTTAGTAACACAATGACTACAAGGCTAACAGAGCTGTGGGACTGCTACTGCCCAGCAAGACAAGAGAGTACTGTCCTGGGCTGGGGATTTAGCTGAGTGGTTCCGGCGCCTGTCTCCTAAGCGCAAGGTCCCGAGCTCGATCCCCGGTACCAAAAAACAACAACAACAACAACAAAAGAAGAGTACTGTCCTACACATCATTTGGCCAGGAACAGATCAAAATTCAAAATTTGAAGTAGAGTATTTACTGAATACATACTGATTTTGCATCACGTAAAGATGAAACTCACCAAATGAATCATGTTAATTCAGGGATTGTCTGCATATATATGCAAAGGAGAGAGATAAAGAAAGAAGTCTTTCCAGATACTAAAACTAAAAAGAATACAACCTATAGTTTGTCACCTTTGGGAAAACTAATACAACTCAATGAAAGAATTAGAAAGTCCAGGTATAGACCCTAATGCTAACTCTATTTTAAAGATACAACAAAATTACATGTTATAAAGAAAAATAAGAGATTTTATATTACTGTAATATAATCTATACAGTTATATAGATACTATGCTGATCTCAAGAGTTGAAAATATAAATTTATCACTTAGAAAACTAATATTGTTTTCCTTAACTTGAAGTAATCTTTTAACAAGGAAAACATTATCAGCCATAGGACAGGTACTCTAGTCACCACTGTCTGGAAAATAATTTTTTTAAAAAGACTTTTAGGTATTCTAAGACATATTCAATTCTTCTGCAGAAAACAATTTTAATCTACAGTCACACTAAAACAGTAACAGTCATAATCACTTTCTGTCCACAAGGTTAAGACTGGTAAAGAAAGAGGGAATGCATTCTGTATATTGTTACATGGAGAAATAACTTAAAATGTGCTATAGGGATTTATAGGTACAATGAATCACAAAGGAAATGATACCCATACTTACAAACTGGGGGTGGGTGGGGGGGTCCTGGTGTCTATTTTATATGTATGTCTTAAAATTTGAAATAAAATATGGAGTAAAGCTGAGAATGGTTACACATGCCTATAATTCCAGCCCTGTTGGAGGCTGAGGCAGGAGGACTGAAGTTTGAGCCCAGCCTGGGTAATATAGCAATTTAGTGACACCTTGTCTCAAAATTTAAAAAATAAATTGCAAAAGTCCTGGATTCAAGCCCCAGTTTTTATCCCCTCCCCCAAAAAGTACCGTATGAACCTCAAAGAGATATACTTAAAATCATTATTTTCTTTTTTTGGTACCAGGGACTGAACTCAGATCCTCACGCTTGCAAGGCAGGCGGGCAGAACCACTGAGCTAAATCCCCGGCCCAAAATCATTATTTTCTGAAAAGAAGACTCTACTAACCCATCATTCTATATTTTCAGAATTTTTAAAAGTTCACTTTTCCTTTACAAGGAATCTAAAACAATGTTTTGTAGAATATAAACAACTATAATTAATGTATATGTGCTTTGAGATATTAGAAAAAAGGAAATATTCAGAATATAACACTAATGCAAAGAAATAGTTGTCTTACAATATCACTTGCCATTATAAAAATTTTCAGATGGCATTTATTTGTTTAATACATGTATGTGTTAGTTTATACACACAAACTCACATACAAAGGTATATGTACATTTTTTAGATGGTTACCTCCATTGAGATTCGTCTATGTATACGATTTCTGAGACAAACACCTGTAGGTGACTGGACTTCATCAGATGATGTCCCAGAAGCTTGGTCACTCTCACCATCTGATCCCATTTTTAGATTCTCATGGACAATATCTATATCAGAAAATGTGACACAATTTACCTTAAAGAAGATATATCCTACTATAGCATGTAATTTATGATCACTACAGGTAAAACACCTACAATCAACATGCAAAAATTATAGCATTAAAAGTCATAGGTGCGCAATTAATAGATCAAGACATAATTCAAACTGTCTTAAAACAGTAAGGAATACCTTTATATTCTGATTATGAAACAACTAGCATTCAAGTTTTTACCGAGAGTTGAATGTTATGGCTTGTGTCTAGATGTAGTCTCATGCAGTCATAGGTGGAACTTTTTCAGAGGTAGCTGGATCTGGAGTGTGTGATGCTGGGACTAAGGATGTGTGATTATTAAATCAGTTCACTGATTAGCTTGGCACTGCCCTAATCCCAGTAGCCTAGATAGAACATAAAAGGGGCAGAAAGCAGCTGCAAAGGTCCCTTGCTTGTTCTCTCCTGCCTGCCTGCCATGGACTGTTTCTCCTCTACGATGCCCCTCTGCCATGCCACCCTGCCTTGGAGCCAGCCAATTATGAACTGAAACCTCTACACCCTGTGAGCCAAATAAGCCTTTCCTCCTTTAACTTTGGGTGTCAAGTATTTTTTCTCAGCCACGAGAAAGTAACGAAGGCACTCAGTAAAATTATAGATTGGAAATACCTGAGAATTAATCATTTCTCTATTTTCCAGATCTGAGAACTGAGACTTGAAAGGTTAAGGGACTTTCAGAAAGTCACAAGGGTTAAAAGCAGAGCAGAATAGAAACCTGGTCTTCTACCTCTCATTTAGTTTAGTATTCTTTCAATTAAATAATGTATCATTGGGTCCACAGACAAGTGGAGTCAGTTCATAGAATATTCTTTTTTTTTTTTTTTTTGGTACCGGGGATTGAACTCGGGACCTTGCACTTGCAAGGCAGGCGCCAGAACCACTGAGCTAAATCCCCACCCCTCATAGAATATTCTCTTAAAACTTCTTAAAAGCTGCTAATGCAGCTTCCCCTCCCCAACCCTCAAGGTTAAAACATTTCAAAAATTATTCACTGAACTTGGCATGGTGGTACACATCTGTAATTCCAGCACTCTGGGAGGCTGAGATAGGAAGATCACAAGTTCAAGCTCTGCCTGAGCAACTTAGCAAGACTGTCTCTAGATAGATAGATGGATGGATGGATGGATGGATGGATGGATGGACGGACAGGCAGACAGGGCCCTGGGTTCAATTCTCAGTATGTGGGAAGCAGTGTGTGCATGTGTGTTTGGGGGGTGGGGGTGGTCTCTGAATATCTATTTTGTCCTAAACTCTAAAAATGAGTTTATGACTTCACAAAGCTCAAAAATCTACTGAGAAGAACCTACTTATATTACAATTAAAGATGAGTTATTCTATATATTTTAATAGAGATAAAAGTTAAATGGAAGTAGAGAAGAGGGAGATTAATTCAATCAGAGAATATTAAAAACAAACATGTATATTTATATACCTGTTTTTATATTTGCATTTGTCATTCTTTAACTCATCTACCAAGTGCAGCCCATTAGCAATAAATCTAGATGTAGAGCCATCTCTTACCATTATTCCTCTCTGTAATTTTTCATTCCTAAAAGAGTCTTGTGTTGCTTCATGCTGCAGTGTCTTGACATACTTTTCCCCTCCCATTATATTAACCTGGAAAACTCAGATTTTTTCTTCAAAACTGCTCACATGTCACCATTCAGTGAAGTCTTTTCTAATCTCAGACACAGTGGCTTTTACACCCACACCTGCTGCACTGAAGAGCACTTTTTGGTTCACATGATTTTATATCACATTTTGGGACCCTTGGGGGCAGGATTTGATTATTTGCTTTTGTATTCTCAGAACTTAAAGTGTCTGGCATTTAGAAGGTGCTCAATATTCAGTGAACTGAAGATTACCTAAATATCAAGGAATGGACTAGATAACTAGATCTCTTTTTCAAATGAAATGCTAGGTCCCAAGTTCGATCCCTGGTATGCCCCCCCCCCAAAAAAAATCCAAGAGGTCAAATGAAATGCTATATGATAAGTATAAATTTAAACTTAATGAACAGCACTTACTTACAAAAATGAGAGAACTGCTTAGATTAAGAAAGACTGAACTCAAAAGTCTCATAGTAAATCAACATTATTTCTGTATTTTGGGCTTGGTGACTTAATACAGAGAAAATTCCAATTCCTATTCTTAAGCAGTTGCAAATGGTAACAGAATACATTTCAACTCTACAGAGATTTCTGAAGAAATTTTATGGTGAGATCTGAACAAAAGATTAACTTAGCAACAAAAGTAAATCTATTAGTGACTATTAATCTCAAAATTGGCACCTAATGAATCTAAGGTCACATATTCTTTTCTGTCACATTTCTAAATGTTAAAAAACAACTTCACTAAGCCTTCTGTTTCTAGTAAAATCTGAAAATCTTCCTTCTTCAAGGAAATGTTTACTAAATATAATACCTTAAAATGTACAGCTAAATTTGCAAGAATGTACGGGTAGACCCAGGAAGTAAAAACACAGAGAGAACTGAAAACCCAAAGCTCTGCTGCACAGACTCTGCCACCCTCTTGGCAGGGGTTTCTGAGCTTGATATGAAGATGTCTGGGTATAGGTGCCATCCTGGGGTTAAAGATGAAACCCTTGGTAGCTGAGGTAACTGAGACCTCCTCATAGAAAGGCCCAACTCTTAAAAGTGCCAAGCCTTTGAGACATACAGGGCAGAATTTTTTTAAAAGCCCTGTTGTATATGGGTTACAAAGGAAATTTATTCATCTCAGACTGAACAAACACTGAGCACCATCTGACTCAACCAAGAAATCACATTAACCAACATGTAGAGTTCTGAAACTTCTATTGGTTTGTAGTTGTTTCCTTTAAGACAAAAGTGAAACAATGACTGCTGTGTTACAACTTTACTTATTTGTCAGTGGGATAAGGAACTGCCTTGCTGACTCAGATGGTGGTTTTTAAGAACTAGAAGAATTTCTACTTGCTCAATTTTGGGGCTTTCACACAACTGTAAGAACTCTGGACACAACACACTTTTAAATTTTACCACCATTGCTAATATTTTCAACATCACTTTCTTTTTTTTTTTTTTTAATAACAGATATGTTAATTATTACATATCCATCAGTGCGGCTTTCAATACCACTTGAAACATGCATATCATCCTAGAGACAATCAGTTTTCCAGTGCTTATTTGATACTCATTACTGCAAAACCATTATAAATTACCGAGGAGGTATTTGGTTAAGAAAATAAACAATAAATCACACTGCCCATATAAATAAACTCTTGTTACTGAACAAAAGTTTAACAGTATTTATCTGGTAATTCCTATGTTAACTGGAAAACATAATGGATTTCTTAAATCTAGAACAAGAAAGGATGCTTTGGTTTTTGGTTTGTTTTGTTTGGGTACTGGAGACTGAACCCCTTGGGCCTTCACACTGAGGTACATTCCAACCCTTATCTTTTCTTACTGAGACAGGATCTTGCTAAATTGCCCAGGCTGGACTTCAACTTGTGGTCATCCTGGCTTAGCCTCCCAAAACACACATCATGCCTAGAAACAATGGATGCTGGCCACTGAACTAAAAATGTGTTTTGCATTTTTTAGAGACTTTCCAGCCAAAGAAAAATAATATGCAACAGAGACTATAGTCCGTAAAACCTAAAAGATTTACTAACCAGCCTCTGGTCTAGTCAATCAACAAAGCAATAAGCCTCTCTGATCTACAGTGTATTCTGATTCCATGAGGGAAACACTCCCTCTATGGCCTATTTCAAGCTACCAACATAGCGGTACTGAACATTCAACATTCAGAGAAATGTGCAGCAGCGCACTGTGACATAGTATTCTGACTATAGAGGTACAACAGAAATAACCCTCATCTCACAGATAACAGTAAAAAACAGTAAAAGGATTAGGAAATAATGACAAGTATTCATAACCTTTGTTTTAATTTAGCTTACATAAGTGTAAGCATATATATATATATATATATATATATATATATATATATATAGTAAAAATCATTAATAGCTCTGTTGAACAACCAACTTGCAAAACTCCTGAAAATTTAACAATCATCTCTTCTGAACCAGTGTGAGCTGATTCCAGCATACCACTGTGCAGGGTTGCACCCACAGGAGCACAGGCTGCACACATTTCCCATAGACACCACTTCACTACAGATAAGCCTATACTCCCACATTAATGTGGCACATCAAGAAATAATCTACCATGGCAAGAAATGAAGCAAGCAGTAGAATAAAATACACAGGAACTTCAGGAAATATAATTATCTAATGAGACAATAAAGTAGCTACATTTAAAAGGATTTTTAAAATCAAAACATGATAAATAAGGTACTAACAAAAAAGATCAGAGAAATAATCAAATAAATAATTGCAGATACATGTTTTCTTTAGATATTTAAAAGAACATAGTGATAAAAGAGTAACAACTCAAGTGATAATCTAATTATTGTACTGTTCTATAAGATGGTGATGATTTGAAGAGTTACTGAGGTAAGACCCTAAATGAAGCACCAAACTAAGCAAGTATTCATCTTGAAATTTTGCATCCACTTTTACAGGGCTTGTTTTCTTTCTGCTGGACAAGTGTCCAAATATTCCCATACTTCCCCTCTGTGTCAGCACTGCTACCTCTCTAGAACCTTCCCTCTTTCTGCTATCCTTCCTATTCTTGGTTTTTATCTGACAGATAATAAACGTCCACTGACTTCCATAAAACTAAAACATAAATATGTACATGTCCTATAATCAAAAAGTGAAATACAGTAGAGAAATGCTCAAATTACCTAATCTGCTTCCGTTTCTGGGCATTGCCATGAAGGCGCCAAGGCTGCCTCCGATAACACTGTGGGGTCTCCGCAACGGGGGCTTCTTGAAAGGCCCTGTGTACTGGTGGAGGAAGGAGTGCACACTGTGAGATGTGGGGGGTCTGCCATTCTTCACGATAGGCTCTGTGGTCCGCAATAACCAAAATCATTCCATCGCCAGCCCGAGATCAGGGTCGCATGAGAAGGGTTGAGAAAGCAAAACAGAAAACAAAACAAAATGCTGTAACAGAGATCACTACATTTAGCTTCACTTCTTTGGCTATCTGATACAAGTACTAAAGTTAAAATAATTTCTATAAAAAATACTTATAGAAAAGTAGTCTAATACTTACCCATCCAATTCATATAATGAAAATTAACAATCACCGAACTATTAATATAACCTATCAGCTTATTTCTCATCTGAATATGTCTTAAGATTGTTTCCATACTACTCTTCCATGTACTGACTTAGTGAATAAAACAGAAGTATTTAAGTGTGCTTTAATACACAGACTTGGAAATTATTGCCCAAGTTTGAAATTTTTAATATAAGGAGTTTTAAACAATCACAGACTCATTATAGTGCAAAGTATCCAAATACAGTTCTTAAAAATTATTTAAGCGGGAAAAATTTTGAGGAAGATTTTGTTTGAATGTCTGCTTTAATTCTTTTGAGTATATTCCCAGAAATGGAACTGCTGGGTTATATGGTTCTATATTTAACTTTCTGAGGAAATTAGATGGATTAATTTTGGCTACTTTTTAAACAATTAAATATGTAATATCTTTTCAGCTAAAAGAAATCTGATGAGCTTAGAATTCTTTTTCCTTACAGATACTTTAGAAAAAATACTTTATACTTCAGTTTATAAATTTTTGTGCAAACATTTCATTTCATACTTAAGAAAAGCTGTACTAAGTTAAGGTCAGCATTCTTAAGTCAACCAAGTTTGCAAACTTTCAACCTATTTTTAACACAATGACTACAAATTCAGGATTCATCTTTCCCTGGATTCAATCCACCTGTCAGTGTGCAAACATCCCAGTTAAATAAATACATCCAGTAATGTGAATTACAATTATATTAATAATTTATAACTGAGTTTAAAACTTTACAGTGCAGCTCAGTTATCAAAATGACAGAACTATTAACTCAAAATCTATTTGGAAGGAAGAGGAATATGTACCAGTGACATATATAATGCAAGAATAATAGGACTGTGGTCATATATGTGATTAAACAAGAGACAGGAGATCAAAAATTGATCCAAAGAGAATTTACTCAGGGAAATAATAAACTATATTCCTCATACTCCATAGTAGCACTGACATTGGACAAAGACCATTTTTGCTTTATAAACTCATGATATCAGGTATGAGAGGATCAAAAAGCATTATCACACATTCATAACTTATTCTGACACAGGCTATGTGCATGACCTATCTTATTAAGCTTTTTGGGCTTAAAAAAAAATAAAACAAAAAACCCACTAAACTCCAAAGGAAAAAATGTGTTATATAGAGCCAGTTGTTGGGCACTGGGAGGTGACCAAACAGATGTAGAATCTCTGCCAATGCTGTTCATGAAATCTGTGTGTTATTACATAAAGAGTGTAAGTAATAGCAGGCTACAGTAGTTCATGCTACCAGCAGTCTCTGCAACCCAAGGAGAAGCAATGTTTATTATGAGGTCTTTAAGTATTATTTCAAGCAACTCAGGCCAAAAAGAAACAACAGAGCTCCTGTTTTCTCTTCTTTTTACCTACTAGAATTACTATTATAATAAAAGGAAGTTTTATTAAACTACTTGAAAAAATTAGGTATTTTTAACATTTCACCATTTGTTACAAACTATGTATTTTAAGATAATTAATACTAAAATACTGCAGAAAATATGTAATTAGTCAAAAAAATAGCTCTTCAAAATGTCTGATTCATAGTTTTTTTTTTAATGTAAAAAGAGGTTTGGCTTATAGTCAAATACACATTAAGAATGTGCCCTAGAAACTATCCACCAAGATGCATACTGTGCTTATTTTAGTTCTGAACATCACTGGCAAACATACTGCCAAGACTCTTCTATCCTAAGAATGAACACACTGGATTTAATTAATATGAAGACATCAATGGGAGTCTAAGAGAAAATTAGGATATTGTTCCATGTATCCAGTACGTCTTGCAATAGGAAGAAAATATTATAAAATCATCTTTGGGATTTGACTCAAATACAAAATTTTCCCCTCCTACATATAATTATTCCCTATTTCCTACTGAGGCCATCTCTCTTCTCCGTTTGTTCAAAGCAAAACAGGCAATATCAAAGGAAGACATTAGCAAAACCAAAAAGACCTGGGAAAACAGGATGTGATGCTGTAGACTGAATCAAAGAAACCTAGGTTATAATGCACTGATTGTGTCAACAGTCACCCAACAACCTGGGGACCCTTGAGTAAATACTACCCCTTTAAAAAAACGAAACAAGGTATCTGAAACCTGAGAAAGATAAATGACATCCAGGGTCAACCAACTCTTTCAGTATATTAGTGCATTCCAAATCATAACCTACGACTTGTAACTTAAAATGCAGACCCTTCCCATGATACCTTTCCCTCTGTCACAACACAAGCATCCACGTGGATGGGAGGGTTGAAGGTGTTCATCTTTTACTCACTGCTACAAATCTGTAGGAGCAGAATTTCAAGGCACAAGCAATGATGGCTCGCCACATATTCCACATGTGCTAACACACTGGCAGCCATTCATGTAGGCACTTTCCTGATTATTATGACACTTCTAGAGTTACTTTAATTTAAATATGTAGCCATGTTCTAACAATTTTGCCAAGTTTGCATTTTCATTCTATTTAACAAGCTCTTTTATTTTATATTAACATACTACTCTGAATTATAAAAAGCATTGTCAAATGCATGAAACACGTCTACCTGCCTTAAATGCTCTCCATACAATGGACAGACTGGTAAACACATAATGTAAGAAGAGTAATACACTCGTGATGAACCTTATAACTTATGTGGCTAGTCCCTGTGTATATAGTCTATTGAAAACTATGATGGAGTAGGAAACAGGAATTTTACCAACTTCCTATAAACTTTAACACAGGTTATAAAAATAACAAAAATGACTGAAAAGTATGCTGTGATCAAAAAATACAGTGAAGGTTTAATGTGTTTAAAATTTTGTTACAATAAAGATACATTACTATTAGTCCTCCTCAAAAACACCCTTCACTTCAAACACACTTACCCATCACTCGTGCACTTTCTGAAACAGCTGTGGAAGTCCCCTTTTTATCTTTAACTGCACTACTGTGGCTGCCTCAATGCCCTAAATCAATTCAACATGTTTACTTTTCATGGTCATTTTGACTTTGGGGAAGAAGAAGTCACAGGTGCCAGAACCAGTGAATAAGGTGAATAAGGACAAACCATAATGTCTTTATGAGACCACTAAGACTGCCTTTTCATTAAATGGCACTCAGCAGCAGTAGTCACCATATTTTTGATCAGACCTCATAAACACTCATGAAACAAGACTTCCAGGCCTGCTTCAGAAAGCAGCATGTGTCTTTCAGTATAATAATTTTTTAAATTCAAACATTCACCATATACTTTGATTATTCCTTGTAATTTGAAAAGTTATTTAACAATTAGCATAATGCTATACAACTTATCCTTACTTACAAACTAGTAAAAAAACAGAAAGATATGTGGGATGGGTTTGGAGTGACTGTATATTATTCCACTAAGTATGCAAAAGTTATACAATTTTTTTTGTTTCCTAAGAAACAAGGGAATGAGAGAAACCAAAGGATGCTACTGGGAATCTATCTGGGTAGTAAATTTACATTCTATTTATAAAGTAATTGAATGGGGAAGCATCTCCCCCATCCCAAATATTTACCATTATCTTTGCTGCTGTTTTCTTCAATAGTCATTTGTTCGGCCAGTTCAGATAATGATTCATCAATAGTCTGGCTTCCTCGAAGTGTGAGGGACAGCCTTCTCTTAAACTTTTTCATCCTATCAATTGAATGTGGCTTGAAAAATCCTGAAAGTAAAGAATGAACACAAAATTAAAGTTGTAACTATTTTACTGCTCAAGAAAAAAATGTCTGGGTTTTCTGAGAATCTTCAAAATAGGTGGTTTTTTTGGGTTTTTTTTTGGTAAAATAACTTTATCCTCCGTCAGAACACAAACCAACATGCTTTGGGAGGGAAAGGGAGGCAGCAGTCCAGTCCGGGGCTCACATACAAGAGGGGGGGGGGCGGGATTCAAGGGCCTCACCCCGCTACTTGCCCCACTGGGAGAGAGTCACAACCCTAACACCCACGTATAAATATCTTGTTATATTAAAAAAAAAATTTCCAGGGCCTACTTGGCTCTGCTCCTGCACAGGAAGGGTTTTCATTTTGTGACATCACAGATCACAAAGGGGTGGTAGGAAGAGGCAGATATTGGGGGGCAGGAAATTGGACAAGTCTATGTGTAATTAGGGCCCCCCAAAATATCCAGAAGAGTAGGGGGACCTGGGTGTTGTTCACTCCTGTCCCCATCCCTGATGTGCTGCCGGCCTCCCTTCTTGCTAGGGGACAGTCCCCGTCCTCAGGTCTCTGAGGTCAGCCCCTTTCCACCACAGCCCCCGCCCCAGATGAGAAGCACGGGGAGCTGGAGGGTCCTCCTGTGAGGAGGATGTTCCAGGGGCAGGCCAGTTGTTGGGTCGCCCTTCAGTCTCTGACCAGGCGGTAAATATGGTGCTGGGCCCCACGCTCACTGATGGAGACCTCGAAGACGTAGGCGGTGCACAGCAGCAGTTCCTGGGTGTCTCTGTTCGTCACCACCTGCAGGATGATGAAGTTCTCCAGGACGCTGTTCATCATGTAGCGCTCGGGCAGCTGCCGAAGCTTGTGCAGGAAATTCACCAGGTACTCGCACATGGGTGAACGCAGCAGGCGATACACGAACCGCCCGTCCTCTAGCTGGGCCCGCTCCGTCTCCACCTTCTCCACCACCTGCTTGCCGAAGGAGCAGACTTTGGAGGAGCAGGTGAGGGTCATGTGCTCCAGACACTCGTACTGGCTGCTCACTCCACAGAAGCCACCAGTGCTGCCACCGCCAGCACCTGCCTCCTCACCTCTTGGTCCCCAGTTCAGGTCAGCCCAGAACTTGACCAGGAAAAAGGCGTGGGGGGGCCCGCGATCGTACAGTTCCCGCAGACTGCCCTTTTTCTCGGGGAATTTGTTGTAGATCTGCCGGACGTCCACGCTCTCCAGGGGGGGGTGCGCCAGGGCTGGGACAGTGCTGGCTGATGTGGACGAACAGGTGCCTCTGGTAAGAGTCAACTGCATCTGGCGGTTCCACAAAGGCTGAGAATTCCACCAGCTGCAAACGGGCAGTGCCCAGGGCCCGACTCTGCCACGCTGGCGGTGATGGGGCAGGCGGGGGCAGGGGAGAGAGGGCTTGGGGGGGCTCGTACCCTGGGAGGTCACTAGATGGGGGTGTCAGTGACAAGGAGAACTGTGTCTGTGAGAACGGCTTCACATCTGGCACATTCCAGGGGGGCCCAGAGCCCCCTGACCAAAGCTGGAACAGCTCAGTGGCCTGAGGACCGGCAGGACCCAGTTTGGCCTACAAGGAAGGTGCGGAGATGAGCTGAGTGGAGGACATGGTAGCCATTGTCTGAAAAGCCTTGTCCTTGGAAACCTGGTCCACATTCAGGGCCTTCCGCTTGGACTGGATTTCTCTCGATTTCCTCCGAGCCAAAACCTGGATGTGACTAGAGACTGTTTCCGAGTCTGGGTCTTCCCAGTTCTGAGCTTGATGTAGCAGGCAATCAGTTCATTCGGACCATACATCTTGCCTTCATCAGACAGGATGATTTTCCAGCGGCTGCAGGGCGGGTAGATGGCCAGTGCCTCCTGGAAGCTCTGCTCGATGTCGGGGCTCCAGACTCCCTCTGCATCTGGGCCGCCATCGCCCCCGGCCCCCTCGCTGCCACCCGTGCCCTCCTCACTGCCTTCCTCGCTGCCAGTCCAGCCGCTGCCATCCTCCAGGGGGAACCCAGCCCGGGGTTTCCCGATCTGGGCCTCCCGGCCTGGGCCTGGGGAGCCGCGGGCCCAAAATAGGAATTCTTACTTCTACTAAATTCACAAAATTCAGCCTTTTATTTAAAAAAACACACCCACTCTGTTTGATACTATATTTATTTATTTGACATCAACAGAAGAGCAGGAATTGTACATAACTAATGACTGAGACTGTAAGCATAATAATTACATTTTAGTGTTATTGTTGTTATGTATTTTTGACACAGGGTCTTGCTATGCAGCTCAGGCTGGTGGAACTCACTGTGTAGCTCTGGTGGGCCTTGAACTCATGGCGATCCTCCTGCTTCGGCTTCCTGAGAGCTAGGATTACAGGTGTGCACCACTACTCCTGGCAATAATTAAATTTAGAAGGACTGCAAATTTTCTTAGAATGTGCTTTCTAAAACTCAACATAGTGGGAATATCAATACCAGCTTGATGCTTACATTCTATCACAAGTTTCAATCACCATACACTACACTGGGGGTAGAAGAGGTGAGAGAGGAAGACAAAGAATTTCGTATGACACTTTACTATCGCATTTTCAGGTTAGGAAAAATGCTCAGAGAACTTTCTTGATCCAAGTCAAACAAATACTAAATAATGGAACTAAGATTTAAAAGTAGGATTACTATTTAGTTTTCCTCCACAGTACAATTTCTCAAATCAGGATGTAACTTAGTTACTGAAATATCAAGATATAATTGACAACACTTTTTTTTCTGTCTTAGAGCTACATAAACTAATGGTACAATTCACAGTGGAGTCTTAGCAATGATAAGACTTGATAAAACTAATTATTCAACAATTTACCTGTAACTTCTTTTCTAAACTGCTATTTTTGACTAGTGATAGTTTACCAAATCACCATGTAAACTGTAACCATGATCCCAAATAAGAATAAGGGCACTACAACTCACCAGTGCTAAAATATGCAAGGTTTACCACTCAGCTCTGTTTAGCTATTTTCCATCTGTATTTTGCTTATTTTCTCATCTTAAGGTTCTAAGTAGCTAAGTTTACTGAACAGGTGATTTCTGCATAAAATGTCAGTCATGAAACAGTTTTGTTTGTTCAAAGGCTAAGGGGAACATATCAAGTACAAATTTATAAGTGCAAATAATCTTGTTTTATTATCTCCATACTACATATGTAATGTAGTTTTTAAAAAGAAAGCACTATAGTAAAAACATAAAATATAAAATCACACACATTAAAAATAGCAAGAATTGCAACTATACTCAAGTAAGGACTCTTTTCACCCACAAGCTGTAAGATAAGAGATTTGGTTTGGTGAGATATTTAATTTAAAAGTTCCTATACTTTATTTGGGGGGGGTACAAGAGATTGAACTCAGGACTTTGCACTTTCGAGGCAGGTGGCAGAAGCACTGAGCTAAATCCCTGGCCCAAGTTCCTATACTTTAATCTGGTTTAGTCATAATGCCAAAAACACAAAGCCATGCTGCTGAATATTTTCAATTAACTTATCTTCCAGGTTACTGTTTCTCTTTTCAGGTGTATCTAATCTGTAGTTAAATCTATCTACTGTGCTCATTTTAATTGCCATATTTTTCAATTTCAGAACTTCATGATTCTTCTCTATAGATTAATGTTCTCTAGTGAAATTTTCAATCTCAGCATCTATTTTCATGAGCAGATCAGTTATAGAATTATAAAGCCCCTATAACTTCAAAGTCTGCATAATCTGTGGATTTTTTTCTATTGTCAGTGTTTTTCCCTTGGTCTTATTTTGTGCCTAGCAATTTTTTATTGAATGCCAGACACTGTATATGAATAAATGTATGAAAAAGTCTATGGAAAAAATTTAGTCTCTGGATGCTATTACCTTCCTTCATAGAGGATTTAATTTTCTGTAGCAGACAGAGTAGGAGCAGATCAACAGATCAACTCAATCCAGTAAGACTGCTTGCTACTGAGTTTCAGACACTGTAAGACTGGCCTCTCGTTTGTTCTCACTCATATGGTGTGGCCCTTCAGGAGATCTGAAAGTAAACTTACAGCCAGAGCAACAACAACAAAAAAAACCCCAACAAACTCCTGGGAGTGCCATTCAACTTTCTCAGCTGCTTTTTGTTTTATCTCTTCTGCCCTACTCAGCTCTTACCTCATCTAAAGCAGCTTACTCGGAAAAATACAAGAGGAAACTAAACACAAAATGAGTTCATCTCCTTTCTCTCTTGAATCTTGACTTTTCAAGTCTTGAACGACTCAGAAAAGGCTAAAAGGCCTTCAAAATGATTTTATTTCCCTAGTATTTTTAATAGTTTTGACAGGAACTTTAGACTTCTGTAAGTTACTCAATCATAGGCCAAAAGGGGAGAGGTGATATAGTTTAGAAAAGATAATATACATATTTCACCAAGCTAGGTGAATTTATGAGACAGTAAACTCAAGAGCTGATTTCAACAAAGAAACTAGCACATCTTAAATGTTATATTCTTCACTTCTGATAGTTAACCTTTATAGTTCTACTTTGACAGTCAGTGTTTCGTGTCATGTGTTAAAACGTATCAGATATTTAAGGTGAACAGGACTATTTTCACACTCATCTAACTTTTTGTTTCTGTAACTTTACACTAGAGACATCCTCCTTTGTAAGGCCTTTAGAATTATCCTGTGCAGTCAAAGGGCAACTCAGTAGGCTTACGGTGCTTAAACTCGGCCCATGCTGAAGAAAGGACTCACCTGAATGGGGCTCTGGAAGATAAACTGTAAGCCCTTGGAATATTCTACGTAAAAAGAATGTCTCTACATTTATAGCTAAATGGATGCACGTTGAGGAGATACTCTTAAGTGAAATAAGTAGGACACACATGTATAAATACTGAACAGTTTCTCTAGTGTGAGAAACTGAAAGTGTAAATAAGGACTAAAAGGTATAATAGATAATGTGAAATAGGAAGAAAAGGGG